GTAATCAGTTCAATCCAAGTTATACAACTGTTGCAACAAAAGCTATCATTCTATTATGATATTGTTTTCCTTGCGCAGACTAGAGCGGTGATGAATAAAGTTAAATCAGCTACAGCATTGGCATGGGATGCGATTGCTTTGGTTTTTGAGGATTTAATATTAGCTTATTAGACGAATGCCCTCAATAACCTACCCTGTATACATGTTTTTCTCCTTTGGTGTGACAGCATGATCTGTTGCTAACATGACCTGTTACATTATGAACACAGACCTGTGGGCCAGCTCCAGAAGCAGGCTTTGATGCCTCAGACATTGACTCCTCCTTCCAGTGAAGTGGTGTGCTTATGATCATTTGCAGTCTCTCTTTCTCCACACCATTTCCTTCTTATCTCTTTGATGAAGTTTCATCTTTACCTCATCTGTCTGTAAAGGTTTGTTTCAGTCTTTGGGCACTTATTTGTACTTCTTTGGAAATTCCAGTGAAAAAGCCGCTTCTGTTCCCGGGTCTGTTCTGCCAAAAGTGCATGCTGACACTTTCACCCCTGCACTCTGTAGACTACTTTGTATTTCTTTGGATGTTATTTTGGGGTTTTTTCTTTACAGCTGTAAAAATGTTCCTGTGATTTACTGATATGGCCTTCCTGAGAAGGCCTGATCGTCACTTTTGGTAGTTTCTTTTTTTTCCATACTGTTGTTTTTGGAAAAAAAAAGTAGCAAAAATAACCTCATTGTCTCATAGTATGTTTGTCACATGGCCTTCTTACATCTCTGGACTTACACTGTCATGATTCCAATCCACCTCCAAGCTATTATGTAAGAAGAGATCCAGGGAATTTGAGAGGGGATTCAGAAGATATCCATCCCCATTTCCTTCTGCTCTGCCAAAAGCCCACAAAGCTGAAACACAGGGTCAATTCCCTAAATGTGCCCATCTTCCAGAGTTGACAAACTACACGTAGCACACAGTAGTGCTGAACAGATGCATTCCCACATGATGGATAATGAGAATAGCTTTCAATTAGATTGGCTTGAGGAGCTTTTGCATGCAGATAGTGTGTGTGTGTGTGTGTGTGTGTGTGTGTGTGTGTGTGTGTGTGTGTGTGTGAACATCTGATTGTGATTTCCTCTTTTTTCCTCTTTCAAGAGAAATTCCAGGTTGAACCATGGTCTATGGTTCGTTTCTGTTGAAAAACGCTTTACTGCGTCATTTCATACATAGAAAAAGAAATAGAAAAGTTCATGTGTCCAACATTAGTCGTTTGAAGGCATGTCATGGATCTCATGGCTCTTTGTATGATCCGAGTGCCTCTGTTGAATCTTTCTTGTAAACTTGTACAACTTTCCACAGTGTCACCCAGGTGAGGATAAGTACTCTTTTCGAGTTTTAGCTCCTTTCAGTGTTTGTTCCTAACGCTCTTAGGGAGATTTTCCTGCCACTGATGCCCTTGGCTTGTTCACTGGGGGGTCTGGACCTGGATTTCTGTAAAGCTGCTTTGTGACAGTGCACTCAACAGTTCTCTAGACACAGACCCAAGAGTGAGAAGTTCATTATCAGACCTTATGGACATGTCATCTTCAGTGATGCCAGTGCAGCAGAATGCTGTTTGCTATTAGAACCTAGACAAAACACTATATATTTGTTATTCAGTGAAAGGATCTGACCATTCAGTTGGTCAGTCAGTGTTAATGAAAAGACTTTCTTTACTTATAATGGTAGTAATAGTTAATGTAACATGATTTTTTCCTAGTAATTCTGGATATTTCTATCACTCCATTCATCATTAAAATGTTACATGAAAATGTAAAGGGCAGCAGTCATTGGGCAGGTTTAGAGTTAGTTACACACACACACACACACTATATATGTATGTATATATATATATATATATATATATATATATATATATATATATATATATACGTGTGTGTGTGTGTGTGTGTGTATATATATATATATATATATTTATATATATATACATATATATATATATATATATATATATATATATATACATACATACACAATTGCATAATGCTTGAAAATTTGAGGAAGGTGACACAAATATTTTATTTCCATCACTTGGTGTAAGTAAGCCAGTGTAAATAGATTTAAGGTAATTACAAAACTGCAACTTTTTTAAATACTTTGTGGCAGTGTATCAATGGACTACGCCACAAGTAACACACAACTGGCTTCAAAATGACTAGAATCAGCTATTTCAGGATTGGTTTTGTGTACTTGTGCCAGTCTGTGCAGACTTACCCCAACCAATTGTTAACCTCTATTGTAGTGATAAAGCTGACCTTGTACACTCAAACTTAAAACACCATCATGGGAAAATAACAAATACCTGTAAAATGCATTTAAACCTAAACTTTGGAGTGAAGATCTTATAATCCAAAATTAACTTTTATTTAAACAGAAGAAAAATAAGAGCTTTTTAACAAAAGCCAACAAAACCTCACATTCTGCACTAAATCAAAATTCCACTGAATCAAAAGTTACCAGTTTCATAAACCTAAAAAGCATATATTGTTGAACACACTCTTTGTTTACTTTAGTGTAACTGTTGGATTTGGATTTTTCTTTGTTTGTTTGTTTTCTTTCCTCAAGACATAAGAAACCAGTAAAAGGACTCTTTGAAGCTGTTTTTACTCTCATTTCACTATTCATTTCATTATTATGTGAGGAGTTATTTTTTCTGAGTGTGACAGAAGAAGTCAAGCATGGCAGAGAGTCCAACAGCTCCACTGATGTTGCCTTACCTGTCACCATGGCAACAGTCACAGAGACAAAATTCCACGTATCATTGCTCATTTTCCACTCACAGTCCAATTTACTTATTTTTCCAGCAACATTTTCTATAGTCAGCAACATTATCTATAAAATCATCTTATATTAGAGTAATAACTGTCAGCTTATTTTCTAAAATAAGAATCTGTGTGTGTTTAAAATCAGTTTGAGGAGATTAAAACTAGTTAGAGCTTGTATGCAAGACAGTAATCTGGGTTAGGGTTAGGGTTCGTCCGAGGGTGGACCAGCAGTGGCAAACAGTCAGCGGGTGACTGACCTTATCAAGCCTTTTCTTTCGATGGCCCATATTTCTTTGTTTCTGGTCCAAAGGTTTTGTTTCCCGCTGGATTTCGAACTGTACAAACTCCGCCCCGCTTCATTGATGTAAACGCCTCCTAGACGGACAAGATCTGCGTGGGTCCTTGCGTTGTCTAAAGTGTAGCACCTCTAATCTGGAACCGCCTCGCGACGGTTGTTATTTCACACCGGACGCAACACGCGTCGCGAAGCAAAAGCGGTTGCTGTTTGCGTTGCGTTTTCACGTAATATAAACGTCTCCACTGTCCGTTTATTACTCATATAAACTTTATGTAGGTGACATAGAGATCAACAATAAACCTGACCTGCTGCCATGACTGTTGCTGGCTTTCTCACCAGGCGATGCAGCGCTGTATGAAGAGGAGGAGATGCGTGTGGCTTCGTAACATTAACCTGCTCAAAGGATCCGCCAGCCCAGGCGCCGCGCACGTCACGCAGCAAAATACACTGAAATAAGTCATGGAAATCAGTGGATATTAAACAGAAAACCGTATAAAAACTTACAAGCGCTCATTTTTAAATTAAGCTTAATTCTTGACGAAATACACATTCTGTGCTGAAAACAGATTTCCCGGCTTGTCTACCAGACTTGAAACTTTTGCCTTAACGCTCGTCAGAATGCTGTCAGGGATAAATAAATATACCGTGCAATTATATTTTTATTGAGCAGAGTAACTGATGTGACCATGTATCCGTATGGAGAAAGCAAGGGCCGCGCAAACACATCATTTTGTCACAACATCGTCTACTTTCTTACAACGTTGTCAAAGGGTGGTGCTGTTTACGTCGTGTCACCAAAGTTGTCGCACCGTTGTCACAGCGTCATTATTTAGTCACGTTCTCATACTGTATTATGACTACTTATCATTTTAGCTAAATTCAATGGAGTTCCATTCACAACATAATGAAACTTAGGAGGTCGTGAGGAATCACATTTCAAGGTTGTCGCAACGTAACTGTGTTTGCTGGCTGTATGTATGAAAGGCCAGCGCGTTTGAGCTGCATCGCTCGCGCCACGTGAAGGTAGCATGTGTGATCAGAAATATACCCAAATCGCGCGCGCATTAAGTCCGCGGTGCTGCGTGACGCGCGTGGCCGGTGAGAAAGACTACATAGATTAATAAAGGAGCGTAGCGGGCGCGGCGCGGTTACCGCGTCTGGTGTGAAATGGGATTGAGACAGTCTCATAGAGCGAGTCTCTGAACACTAGAGCTCAGGATGACTGTAGCTCTGCACATCTGGAGGCTTTCCTTCGAATTCCTGATTGAGAGCAGCTGCACTGTCCCAGCACGGCTCTACCCCGAACGTTTACTATGTGAAACTTTTGACAGAGGTCAGCAGAAAGCATTCAGTTCAAATAAAAAAGCCCATAGTTGACAACAAAAAAGCTTCTATTTCAGATAAAAATGGTTTGCTTGTTGTTCTCACCAGACCTATTTGTCTAAAACTGGAAACTACATTAGAACAAGCTCTGAAAGACTGGTCACCCTCACAGCCACCCACCCAGTCCCTAAATAAATAGCTAAATAAAAAATGAGCAAGAACGCTGATGGAGTTTAATCTTAATCTCTCCCACATGTGCCCCAGTGTTGGAGGATATCGCTGGAGCAGGTACACTAAAGCAGACATCTTAGGGCTTTGGCGAACAAAAAGAGGTGTAATTACGTTTGTGCAGATTTCAGTGAGGGTCAACACTGGAAAACAAAGTTCGACAAACTATCTGATCTTTAGGCGCACATGTGGGTCTCCGCATGCTGAGCACGCAGCGCTGCCTCTGCTTCTCACCGCGCCGCCGGAGAGTGGACAGGTCGGCAGTGTGGAGGCACAGCGCCGCCCCGTGGACATACGCGGGAGTGTCCTGCGCTCCGTCCAGCTTTGCTGGCTGAGGGAGGGAGAATTGGAGAGGAGGCGCACAGGGGACTGCAGCAACGGCTCCACTCCTCACCCACTCCTTCCCTCTTCAAGTTATTCTGCTCTTTTTCATCTTCGTTTTATTTTCACCCCGCGATGAAGGCTTAGGAGAACTTAACGAAATTATTCTGGGCGATCTGTGGAGGAAATCTTGAAGGAGAAGAAGAAGTTGTGACTGGGCGTGGGTGAGGTGAGTGTGAACTTTGGGAAACTTGGAGCTGCTGGTCTTTTGGTTGTCCGAGGAATGCAGGAGCTGGTCAGACAGCGCTTTGCTAGTTGTGGTAATAAAAGACTGAATTCGTTTTGCAGCTGCTGGCCCTGTTTTTTTTTTTTTAGCAGTGGTCTGTTAAGTGTTAGCTGTGAGGATTATACAGTGTATCATGACGCACTAAGCTTGCAAAGCTACGATTTGGTAAGATGGTTCAAAAATGCTGTACTGAGCATCTAAAATAATGCTCTATCTGCACGCTGAATAAGTTTAACTGTGCTAGCCAAAGCAGTGTTTCTCCCCGCACAACACGTTGTAGTTTGTTCTTTGCTCTTACACACCCGTTTCAACCTCACCAGGGTTTGTTCGTTAGCTGATGGGTCGGATCAGGTGTGTTAAAGCAGGGAAAAGCTGAAATGTGTAGTGCAGGGCTTCAGGGCTGGGAGACACTGGCCTACAGCCTATCACTGTTCTGCTTGCGGAGGGTTCTTAAACTTGTTCTTTGCCTGAGATGGAGATAAGACATTTCCCATTCCTCGTGAATTATCAATAATCCAGTGGGAATTCTCAGCCAAAACAGAGCCCTATAGCGTTCTGAAGGTTTTAAGCTTGCGGTTAGCTTACAGCCAAATACAAATCAGCTATAGTAAAAGGGTAAATGACATGGGCCTGCATGATAGTCTGTGTAAAATGTGCTAAAAAATAACATTTTTTGCATCGTTTCTGGATTTTGGAGTGTAAAAATGTGAAAAAAGATGCAGAAATGACCTCCATAAGACTTACACGGGGAACACAGTTCCATCCATTTTCAGGTTAAAAATGGTCTAATACAACAACAAGCTGATGTGTGAATTATGAATGAGCGTTTTAATGTATTTACTGAAACTTTGAAGTGTGTATTAGTTTGATAACTAGTGTTCTGACTGTACTAGCATCATTTGCATGTGTTCCTCCCCTGAGCGCTCAACTACTGTGGAAAGTGATGACGTAAAACGCATCACTACCCCGCAACATTTAAACTAAGGCGGAGCAGTAAAGTAGTCCCAATCAAATTCCAAAATAAAAGCATTCTGTTCTTTATCGGGTCTTGCCAGGAGACAAGAGTGCGTAAAATAAGCTTAGGCGACTTAAAGTTCATGTCCATAGTGAAGCTTTATTCAAATTAATCCCTTAGCAAGCTATATTGCACACTTCTATAACCTAAGAATAACTCCATTAGTTTGCGATTGAAGTCTCTGTAGTTACTAAATAAGAAGTAGTAAACCTGATTGTTAAAGGGTTAACTCAGCAGCCAGAGTACAATAGAAAAAAATCTCTTTTACAAAAAAAATCGCATACTTAACTACCAAACATCATTAACAAAAATAACAACAACAAATGTGCTTTTTAACAGGAAGGGGCCACGTGCAGGCACTACTTTGCATGCCACGCCTCTTGAGCTCCCACAGTAGCACAACTGCTGGAACATATTATATTTTTTTGTATTTTAGAGTTTTAAAAAGCTGTTTCCTGTGTATGTGTTTTTAAACATATGCTGTAAACATGTATTAATTCGTATGCTTATGCTCGTTAGAAACCTATCCCTGTATACCTTATTTGAGAAGTGTTTGCTTGAGTCAGATTCAGATCAGCATCTTGTAAGCAATGAGTTTAAGTTGGCAGATTAGTTCAGAATGGACTGTGAGGGCAGGTCTAATCTTATAGGGAAGCTCAACGTCATTGGTTAACCTTACAGAGCATAGGCCCGTTGAGTCAGGCAGCTTTAAAATGGAATAGGAACCCTTTTTAATAGTCTAAATAAAGTTGTAAGCCTGCTTCCTAAAGGTTTAATCTAGCCGTTGAGCACAAAGGATACGGTAATGACATAGGCCCACTGTATGAAGATCCAGAGCACAAAGCGAGAAAGGGCGACCCCTTTGCACATGAGGCAATAGTGTGTACTGTTACAGAATCATCAGCATATTAATCTCTACACTTTTCAACTTTCAGTACAATTCCTTGATCTGTTTTCTGGTTAAATTTGATACATGATCAGTTTTGGTTAGCCTGATTAGTGACACTACACATATTATATATTTATAAATATGAACAAAAGCATCTAGAATCATATAAGATTTGACTCTTTTTGTTTTGTGTTATAATACTTACCAGTTTGTTGAATTTGTTATTTGTGCAAGTACAATGTTATAAAAGAATAGTATGTAAAATAGTTGTGTATACAACATATTTAAATGCTTTGTCATTGCACATAAAAAGCAATATTTTAGATATGTTCAAACAACATTATGATACAGCATGCATGGGTTCAAAAGCTATTGGTGGCCCACTGGCACACACTGTGGACTGTCAAACTGCCAGCTGTCATACAGCTCATAGTATATATTTGCTGCTGTCCAGCACTACCATATGCTAAACATTTTTTCAAGAATTCCTCATTTTTGATATAAATATTTAACATATTAAATTGGGCTTTTCTTGACTGATATACTCACAACCACTACACAGAATTATATGTGGAATCAAACAGAGAATATCTTTCCCTGTCAAATGCAAAACAATGAGGAAAAAGCTTGAAAAGTAAAGAATTTGCTAAATTTTCGTTGGCAGAGAGAAGCTAACACCCTCGCCTTGAGTACCATTAGGCCTATTTGGTACCAATACTCAGCAAGAACCGAAACTAAAAAACTGGAGTGGCCAATGGAAGAAGCACAGTTCTAGTTTTCTGGTACCAAAAGTCCTGGTACTTTGTGCAGTGGAAAAATGCCTTTAATGTGTGAAAAATGCAGCTGACAGACATTTATCACTATTTATTTCTCTGGTCCTACCTTTGTCAAATTTGTTAAAAAAATGCTATGTACACAAAACTGCGCAAAAGTCAGAGACCACCCTTTCATTAATTTAATTTCGTATTTCAGCAAAAAAAATTATTATTCATTTTTCAGCAAAAACATGTATCACTGAAAATTACACAGAACTCTCAACAACTCAATATAAGATCAAACGTTCAGTATTTAGTGTTTCCACCCTTTGGCTTAATGACAGTGTCCATTCGTTTTAAGAGACATGCTTTTTTTCAGAGAAATCTGCAGGGATATTTTTCTACACCTTACACAAGTTCAGTCTTAGACGTTGTTGCATTTTCTGCCTCTCATAATCCAACTAATCCCAAACACATTCAATGATGTTGAGATCGAGGGCCTCTGTTATTTGATTTGCACATTTTCTTCTTTTTTTTTTTGTCTTTTTCCGTTTCTCAGTAATGGGTTCTTGACAGCTACACATCCTTTCAAACGCGTTGAGTTTGACTTCTCACAGTGGAAGGATGGACAGAACCATCTGTGGATTTTTTTCAGATATGAAGCAAGAGTGGAGCTTCAATTTATCCTCTCTCTCAAAGATGAAAGCTTTAAGTACTGTTTATCTAACGGTGGCAGTTTTGGTTGTCTAATTGCATTGTTGTTAGACGTCTATGTTTTGTTTTTATCTATGTCATCTAAAAATGTAAAACTCCAGTTTTAGAAACTCTTTTTTTCATTCTTTGTCTTTGCCCTTCCTTATGCAAGTGGATTATTTAGTATTCAATCACCTCAGAACTGAGAAATATCTTCAGAAAAATGAATAACTTGTATTTTGATGGTTGTTTTAAACAGAATTTAAATAAAGAAGGGTGGTCTCTGACTTTTGCTCAGTGCTGTGTATACATAGAATAAATAAACAGCATTTTACCCCATGCACGGATCTCAGGGTTTCTCTGAAAAAATGCAGACACAGCACTGACAGTAGTGATATTTAGCCAATTTTCTAGTCTCTCATTTTAGATGTGGCAGTAATACAGTGGCAAATTCATAAACATAAGCTTACAGTTAAAAGCCACCATGTTCTACCAAAGAAATTAAATGAAATGTAAATTAAATGGTAGAGATCTGCAGTTTCCAATATTTTGTATATTTGTATACATCTTTGCAAACACTAGGAGTACCTTTTAATGTCACATTTGCTGGGAGTCTGTGGACCACAGTGAAGTTTCTGTACTGAGATTATGTGCTAATGCAAGTTGCCCAATTCTCAAAAGTGTTTTTGTGATAAATTTCTACTTGACACAAAAGAGGGTTTTCCTCTAGGTATATTTTAAAGAACTGGGGGTGTATGAAAATGATCAATCTCAAAAAACATTAAACACGTGACAGACAAGCTCCTGTTTTCTGCTCCCCCTAGCTGACCAGTCACTGGTAGCACCTCATCCCACTGAAACACAAAGACATAATAGGTTTTACATCACTGAGTTCTTCTGATGCAGGATCAAAGCAAGGCTTTCAGCTCATATACAAAATGACAAAATGTCTAGGATATTTTTTCGTATCACATTTTTTTCATACAAGCCTCAATTTCAAAAACAGTTGGGACAGTATGTGCAAAAATGCTAATAAAGAACAGAAAGCAGTGATTAGTAAATTCTGTTTGGCCTGTATTAAATGGAAAACAGTACAAAAATACTATTTCATGTGTTGTCTTATGATCTTTATTGTTATACTTACTGCTCTTAGTTGTAAATGTTGTTAATTCCAAATTTGATGCTTGCAACAAGTTCCAAAAAGGTTGAGACAGGAGTATGTTTACCACTGTCACATCACGGTAACAATGCTGGTAACAATCGACCATGCTGCTTTATAGCCTGGTTAATGCGATATACATTATGGACAGTCTGAAAGGTTGAATTGTCAGACCACAATACATTTTCCACTGTGCATCAGTTCGTTTTGGATGAGCTTGAAGCGTTTCTAGGTGTTCTAGGTAAGGCTTTCATTGTGCATGGTAGTCTTAACTTGCATTTGTGGGTAGAGTGTCAAATGGTGTTTATGTAACAGTTTGTCAAAATTTTCTCAAGCCTATGTAATGATATCCATCATAGATGATATTATTATATTATATATATTCTATTTAGTATTATATTAAATATGACATCATCTGAGTGGTCGACGATCACGGGCATTCATTTGTGGTTTTTGGCCTTGCCCTTTATGCACAGAATTTTTTTTTCAGATTCCCATACATATTCCAGATTCCCATCCCTCATTTGATAGCATTATGCACCTTAGAGGGTGAAATACCTAGCATCAGCACAAGAACTGGGCATCAGGAGCTTCTTGAATAGGGTTTCCATGGCCAAACAGCTGCACACAAACCTAAGATCACTATGCGCAGTGCCAAGAGTCAGCTGGAGTGGTATAAAGCATGCCACCACTGTACTCTGGAGCAATGCAAACGTGTTCTCTGGACTGATGAATCTGGCGGTCTGATGGGCCGATCTTGAATGTCAGGAGAACGCTACCTGTTAGAATGCACAGTGTCAACAGTAAAGTTTGGTGGAGGAGGTACAAGTCTGGGGCTGTTTTTAAGGGTTTGGGCTTAGCCCTGTAGTTCCAGTAAAGGGTAATGTTGATGTTACAGCACAAAAAATATTTTAGACAAATATATGCTTCCAACTTTGTGTCAACAGTTTGAGGAAGGCCCTTTCCTGTTCCAGCATGATTGTGCCCCTGTACCCAAAGTAAGGTCCATAAATATATGGCTTGGTGAGTTTGGTCTAGAAGAACTCCAGTTTCTTGCACAGAACCCTGACCTTAACCCCACTGAACACCTTTGGGATGAATTGGAATGTCGATTGTGAGCCAGGCCTACTCATCCAACATTAGTGTCTGACATCACAAATGTTCTTTTGACTGAACTGGCACAAATTCCCACAGACACACTCCAAAATCTTGTGAAAAACCTTCCCAGAAGAGTAGAGGCTGTTATAGCTGTTAAGAGGGAGCCAACTTCATATTAATGAAGGGGATGTCCAGCAACCTCATATGTCATCCACATACTTTTGGACATATAGTGTATCTTTTGAATCATTGAGGTATTTTAAATATTTGCAATTGAGTTGACACCCCATTTAAAAGAACTGAGCTCAGTTCATTCTGATGCCTCTGCTTAACAGTGTAATGAATAATAAAAAAGTAAAGCCAAATTCACATCATCGACAATCAAAACTACTACAGGCATTAATGAGTGAATGGCGCAAAGTCAGCATTTTGAAAAAGCTGTGTTTAACCCGTCCACACAAAAACACAGTTTCTAAAATCTCCACTCTGTAAGAGTTTTAAAAAAACCTCCATTTTCAGTGATTGGAGACCAAAAACTCCAGTCCCAGTTTCACATCATTTACACGTTACACATAATTTGCAACGTGAGCCGCAGAGCGAGTGCTTGTTACTGCCATTCTACCACAGAGGAAATCGTCAGAAGAGGTATTTTTCATTTGTAATTTTAACACTAAGTCAACTTAGGGTCTTTTCACACTGAATCAATTTATTTGGATGAAAAAATTGGCACTGAAACTTTCGTGATGGAGTCTGATAATAACTATATTATTAAACAAACTCTGAATATGGGAGAAATTTTCACTGAGTAGTAACAGTAGTAACAATGTTATTATTTCTCTTTTAGGGTAACAGCCCATACTATTAAAACGTTTTAGTAGCATGGGGTCTCAGGCAGGAGCTTAAAGCTCTAAATCAGCCTCTGTGTGTGTGTGTGTGTGTGTGTGTGTGTGTGTGTGTGTGTGTGTGTGTAGAGTTTGTGGCTCTGCTTCAGCTCGGAGCTCCTACAAAAAAGAAGTGAACAAAGCAGCCATGACCTCTCATGTTAAAAATGGTATTAGTGTTGACATGTACATTTTCAAAATTGAATCTTTGTTGTTGTTTTGTTTGTTTTGTTTTGTTTTATGTTGTTTTTTGTGTCTGTAAAACTCAAAAAGGCTCAGTGTGAAAAGGCCTTGGGCTTTAACGCCCCCTCTAGCGCAAATGGAAAATGTCCTAGATATGCTGAATGTACCGACATTTAGTGATAGTTTTGTCTCGTTTTAGCGATTTTTCAACATGGTTATCGTTCTTATTATACAACCTGCCCCTTATTAACTTTTCACTTTGGTAATCCTGGCAGTTGTTTTTTCTTTCCTTTGCAAAGCGATGATCTTAACACCTGTTTCAGTATTAAGCACCTGAATCTGAATCATTTTCTGGGTCTATTTGCCACTAAACAGCAGAGGATGGTGAAAAAATATGTGGGACTTTGTACATCCTGACCATTTGTGGAAAATCTGAGAAGTTTCTTCCATTAATATTGTAGAGCAAAGTGGTGCGGTTGAGGGAGCAATGTGAATCGTTTAATAAACTCAAGTCAACAGGGCCTACTAGGCTATGTTATATTCAATTTTAAAGCTGCATTATGTAAAATGTTTTGTAAAGGGATCTACAGTTTTATGCTTTTGTATTCCTTTAGTGTTATGTGCTTCTTTTGCATGCAAACTGTCTGCAAAGTTACAAAGCGCAAAGTACACACGAAAGAGAGAAACTCTCTCCCACAGAAACCACTTTATTCAGCTGCCTGAAACGCCTCATTGGAATTGCAGCTCTGTTGCTTTATTACAAAATAATGCAAACTCGTAACACAATCCTTATTGCCCACCTACCACCATTCTTGGCACATTCTCACACGAGAGCTATAAAGTTAAAAACATACCACTCTGAAACATCCTGCTCCAGTCGAGCTTGCACAGGTGGATGGTGTCTACCAACTTGTTCTACCTGACTTTTAGGATTGGACTCTGGCTTAAACTGATATGACAGAACTGATGCCAGTGTAAGAATAGCCACAGCGGTGTAGAGGCAGAACTTGTAGCAGGATGCCATTTGGCGGTTGACCAATCAGAACAGAGTGGGCGAGCAATCAGAGCACACTGGGCTCATCTGGCAAGGGGGCTTAAAGACACAGGAGCTCTAACAGAGCATTTCATACAGAGGGTGAAAAGAGATGTACAGTGTGAGAGAAATAATGTGTTTTTGGAACATGTAAATCTATTCTAGTAGACCCCAACAATAAAATTATGGACACTGAAAATTAGCGTATAGGTCCTCTTTAAAACTGAAAGAAGTAGCATTACTCAGGAGAAAAATACAAGCTCAATTATGGTGCTGGTGCGCTGCTGTGAGTCGCCCTGTTAAGCCTGATATACTAATTTGAAACTCAGTGGTATCAGGTTGGATTTTGTGCCAGGCCATGTCATAGGCCATAGGCGTAGATGTATAAACATCACACTCACAGACTCAAAAAGAAGTTTTAGATCAATGTTTAGGTCTTAAATGCAAAATCAACATTATACTGATGAAGATATGATGACAATAGAGAATCATTCACTTACATCCTCAGACAACACGTCCTTCACCAAGTTTTGACTGAGTTCTCTTTGAATATTCTTCTAACACAGTCATCAGATTCATCCACTCGGGGAAGGAATCTGAAGAATAACCGACGTTGCATAATGTTCTTCAGCATGTTAAGTGCAAATACACATTTTCACCAGAGAGGTCTCCAAATATCCAAATCTTTGTGCAACTTTAATATTAAATTCTTTTAATCAATTTGTTTGCTTTCAGCTTACTCTGCTTTCAGACTGGAGTCGTGTTAAACAAATGTTCATCCCATGCATTTATATTCTGAGGCTGTATCAAAGAATCATACAGTGTGAAGTCAGATTTGAGATCACGTCTGTTGATAGTCCACAACTGAGAGACAATATTGGCAGATGTCTCGTTATCTAGTTTGTCTAGGTTTTTTATCCATTTTCTTCAGTGTACTTCTGCATAATTTCAGTTTCTTTGTAGTGTCTTTGTTCCAGAATATACTTATAAATTTAACAGTAATCTGAAAATGAAACCTATAGAGAAAACAAATTAGTTGAGATAACTTGACAACTAAATATTATTATATTTACTTTATTATATAGTACAACAGAACACTGCAACTTCTTGGGTTCTTGGGTTTCTGTTGGCCTTGCTGTGCGTTTGATCATTGCACCCCAATCCCTTCAATGTAGTGAACAAAAACAAAAAATTGCAGAATTCTAATGTGATTATACTCATCATGTACATATAAAGTGCTACCATGAATGAATCTGAGATAAAATACAGCGTAACCATGTTAAAGATATGGGTTTAAAATGCTGAATGTTTACAGGATAACAAAACATGTTTCTTTTTCCCCTGAAAGGAAGAAGAGGAGGATGATGCTGACGAAGGTCATTGCTCTGTGCTTCCTGTATGGAACTGCAGTCTATGGCCAGGTCCCCGCATGCCACCGTGAGTGTCGCTCACCTGATCACTGTTTGACTGATTTGTTTATTATGTGATGATTTAATGAACTGACTATCAATCATAAAATGTCACCCTGAAATGCTGAAAGAAATACTGTGGGGTCCAAAAGTCTGAGACCACTGAGACCACATGTGCTTTTGTTTTGCATTCTTTTCTATTTTAATACAAAATATTTTACTGCAAATTATATTATCAAATGTAAAATACTTGCATAAATTTCAGAATTTCTTAGTATTTGGTCCCCTTTTTATTTGAATGACTGCTTCATGGCGCTGGCACAAATGTGCACAAAAGCCTCTGATGACTCGGAGAGACTTCTGAACACGTGCTTTAATGGAAAGGCCAAGACTTTTTAAAAAATCCAAACTTTTTGTACAAAAGCTTTAACATGGTCAGTGTTACATGTATGATGAAATATAAGTAGTGACCCAGAAATAGTGCAGAATCTTATTAATTTTACTTGCTTAACCTTTGTTATGTTTAAAAGTGCTTAAGTGTAAATGAAAAAAAATAACAGATTTTCAAAGTGATCTCAGACTTTTGAACCCCACTGTATGAAGTAAAAAAAACAAAAAAAGTCTCTGTGTTTGTTCATCAGTATACTGTTTTAAAATGATAACTATGAGGTTGTCATTTGGGATTCTTAACTTTTTCACAGTGGGCCCATTTTTCAAAAATATTTCACCCCCTTTTCTCCCCCCCCTCCACGTGGGTCACCGCACATGCCAGTATACACATTACAGAAATTATGTAAGAATAATCAAATAGTGAGTCTGCTCACTTAATGGGATGAGTGGGCCTGTGTTCCTTAACTAACACTCTGCCACAAACCACAAATCTATAGCCTGCTTCAAGTTTAGCACTCCATCATCTTTTAGTTCAGTCAAGACTCTCCCTCAAGCTCACCCAATAGAAATTCGGAATGGACATTAGCCTGTCTTCTGTGGCCCGCAGGTGGAGCTATTAGGCAGAGCTTGTGTGCACTTGTCAAAATAATTTTCTCTATAATCTTACATAAAATTTTTAAGCTAGCACCACTCTTGTGACCCCTTTAAGACCCCCAGGTTAGGAGCCCTTGGTGTAGGATGTCTACTTTAATTAGAAGATATTCATGTCTATGATGGGGAAACCATATAGGAGCCACAGCCATTTAATCAGGGAGGCACTGACGTAAGGTTTGTGGATCATTGCTGATATTTGGTATTTTTCATGTATGTATCTATTGATAAGGACGCAGATGCCAATACTCACATATTTCAAAAATTACAAATTGGGACTACATTGACCTGGATTAATGTTTATTTTTATAGGCTTACAAGTACAATAAAATGAATAAAAAGCAGACATTTTTAGCACAGTAGCATTCTGCTCTACTGAAATACAATATTTGCATCACCAAATATCACTGAATTATCTGTCCAATGCTGTTTTTTTAAACAATTTTCTGCCCATACTAACATAATACTGATATCATTATGCACCACTGATTTTCATATAAATAGTGTCTGCAAGTCTTTCAAAAGTCCTAACTTGTCTGAAATTACATTTTACAAATTAAATAATACTTAAAATACTTGTACTTAAAATAATATGAATGTGTATGAAAGTTCAACAGCATGTAAGATTTAATGCAAGCCCCTGTGTGTAATGATTCAACAGAATTCACACGCTTGCGGTTGAAGAACAAAAAGGAGGCTTTACTAGTGAAATCAGAGTCCAAGATCGTGGTCGAAAAAACAGGCAGGGTTCAAATCCAGAAGACACAGCAGATACAAACAAACAAACATATCACTCTTGCGATAATCCAAAAGGTGTAGGCAGAAGGTGTAGTCAAAAAACAAGCAAAAAGGTCAACAACAGTAATCAGAGATCCAGGGCAAACAATCCAGAGGGCAGAGCAAAAGGCAGAGTCGGAGAAACGAAAAGTACAGGTCATTCACAGAAATACACAATAGATACAACGCTCAGTAGTTCACAAACAGAAACAATACCTCGCAGCTTTCTATGACTAAAGCCCGGGCTTATAAGCTAAACTAAGAAGGTCATATGATCAACTACACAGGTGTCAGACATCAGTATTCTGGTGATCTAGAGCGCTGATAGGAGTGGGAGGAAAAGTCATGAGTCAGGTGATCCCCCAGAAGATTCTGGGAGATGGAGTCTGTGTGAGTGTCCAAGTTCGAAGGAAGTGTAGAAGTCATGTGATCTCCCAGAGGATTCTGGGAGATGGAGTCCGTGTGAGTTTCCAAGTTTGAAGGAAGTGCTTGCCTTGCTAGGATCCGGACTTGCACACTGTGTTGTGCGAGTATCCGTGTGTATTTTTATACTTGGTGTGCATTAATGAGAAGTCGGTCTTAAATTACTTATTTGAAGTGGTATTATAAAAGTGGTCTTAAAAAGTACTCTTTTTGAACTGTTTCTCTATGATTCCAAGTATTTTTAAGACATTCACTAAATTGTTCTGTCACATTGATTTCGTATTGGAAAGCTCAGTCTTGTTTTCTTGCTTCTTCATGAGGTACCCAGCTCCACGATATGGACATAAAATGTGATGTTGGATACCACGAAGATGATAAATTATTATTAAAATAGTGTGCCTTTGATTGGAAGTACAGACCTTTTTCTTGTGTAACCAGAAAACTAATTAAAATCTAAAAAACTAAATTTAAAAAAGCATTATTCATTATTGTGCAAAATAAAAATAATAAAATGCTGCAAATACATCAGAACTGAAAGCACATTTTTTGTGCACTGCAAAGGTGAACAAGGACAGAGTTTCAGTAGCACTGCTCTTATGAAGCATTAAAAGCTGCCCCCCGCAACCCAGAAGGATAAGAGGTCTAGAAGATGATGTATGTGTGTGTGTGTGTGTGTGTGTGTGTGTGTGTGTGAAACGTGAAAGAGTTGACTCTTCAATCTAAAAACAGTCAGGATTCTCTGAACACCTTTTTTATTTGTGTTTGTTGTCAGGCTACAAACACAAATTAATATGTATGTTTAGTTTTAATATTGGTCTACAAAAACTAATAAAAAGCTGTTTATGATGATGCAGATTTGTTGTGACAGAAGCCATTACTACTTCTTACATTTTACAATACAGTCTTATCTGTATTGTACTTACCATGTTAACGACATTTATCGTGCAGCCCTATAATAGACAGTTTTTTTGATACTTATCTTTTAGCCATTTTTGTCCTGATTCTTCAGTCTCATGATGACCTGCTGTATGGTGTTGACATTTTTGGTACCCCTGTAAAGAGACAGAAGCAACAGACAACACAAGTGAATGCCATGTCTAGAATTAACTCTAGACTTTTAGCTCTACAATGCATAGACTGAAGAGCTAAACTGTAGAGCCAACAGTCCAGTTACTTGGGGTCACCCGAAATGAGGGCACTATATTACTTGAGTAACCACAGTTCAGTATTTATTTATTATTCGCTTTTTTCATGTTAGTGCTATGGTAAAAAAATCCAGAAGCAGTTTCAAATATCACACTGTTGCTTGTTCATTTGTGACTCGTGTCTGTGTGTGTTCTGTTATTCAGAAAAACCAGAATGTCCCATCGACTTGTATTTCCTCATTGACACGTCGGAGACTATTGCTCTTCAGGAGAACCCGCCAGGCAGCTTGGTGGAGAGCATCAAAGATTTCACCATTGCCTTCGCTCAGAAGCTGGAGGACCAGGACTACAGGGGCCTGGTAAAGATCAGCTGGTCTGTGGGTGGCCTCCACTTCTCTATGACACAGAGGACCATCTCTACCTTAACCAACAAGAATGAGTTCATCCGGAGAGTGCGAGATATCCAGTATCTAGGCAAGGGCACTTTCATAGACTGCGCCATCACCAATATGACTAAAGCAATGATCAGTGCACCTCCCAAGGCCAACGTCAAGCGCTTTGCAGTGGTCATAACAGACGGTCATGTGACGGGGAGCCCCTGCGGTGGGATCAAGGTGGCAGCAGAGCGGGCTCGGGATGAGTTAATCAAGATGTTTGTCATAGCGTCGTCCAAGAACCTTGAGGAAACAGCACTGAGAGAGATTGCCAATTCTCCGGTCGGGGTTTATCGCAGCAACTACATGGCTGTCAACCTCACATCTACACGGCCCGCCATTTTAGCCAGCACGATTGACCGCATCTATGAGGCCATGGTAATGTATCTCTTTGAATGCTGTTAATGCATCTCTTTGTATATGCCAGGTCTGTCACAATTGGTACTTTATCAGCTGATTGAAATTATTTATGCTGGCCGCAATTATTTTTCACACTCATTAGCGTTCACAATCATATGTTTACATCACAACAAACATAATATGATGTGGTTGCCTCACTAAATTGAAGCAAGTACATGTAAAAAAATGTAAAAAAAAAAATGCATTTATTGGGACACATGATTTATTGAGGCACGTTCTGACTTCTGCTGTTGTGCTTTTACACCTTTAGAGAAAACTGTTTGGTAATGTTTTTTCATTTGAGCTCAAGCTGTTTCTGATGTCAGTTGCAAGCTGGTAAGTATCAACAGCTAGGACGCAAGAAAGCTAATTAGTGAATTTGACCACATGAGGCTTGTACTATAATCATTGCATACAGTGAACAAAGAAAGACTAATTGTTAATTGCAGTTATTCATATGGCAATTAATCATCAGCTAAAATGTTGTGATTGTAACATGAAAGTATTATATTTTTCATAATAATGGTCACTGAATTGAGGTCAGTTCCTCATGTGCTTAATACTGATTGGCTACCTCAGCATGTTTGCATTTTTGTTTCACTTTGTACAACCTGTGTGATGACTAACTCTAATCTCCCTTTCTCTCTCTACAGCTACATCTAGCCTACGAAGAGGTAAGATACCACTTACGTTGTTTGTCCTTCTTTTGTGATTAGCCATCAGTGGAGTGTCATATTGTTGCTGTTATACCAAAACTTTTAGATTTCACACTTTTCAGAAGAAGGAAAACCTTTCCTATAATATATGTTAGTGTAACAAGATTTTATTCCAAGTAATTTTGTACCATTTCTGTTGATCCATATGACAAATGTATAGTTTGCAAGGTGTTATAAGTCTAAAGAAATAAAACTGACAAAAATATTTGATGAGTATAATTAATAATGGACTATTATACCAAAGGAGGTCCCTTCAAAGCCAGGTTCTGATGGATATTGCATGTAGACTTTAATTTTTCACCTCTAATCACCTCTTTATAATGTTCTGACAGTGCTATAGCCTGAAATGCTTGGAGACAGCTGGGCCTCCAGGTCCACCAGGACTCAGAGGACAGAAAGTAAGTCTGGACTCCATCAAACATTTTTTTTAAGTTATGCCTGATGGCAAGGTTACTGCTGTTTTGCTCTCTTTCTTTGACTTAACTAATTTGATATGCTGATCGCAGGGTGCCAAAGGAGATAATGGTGAACCTGGTCTTAAAGGTGAAAGAGGCCGTCAGGTGAGTACAAAAGAATTGCTGCATTCATTGACAGGTCTCACATACTCATAATGTATAACCTCAGCGAGAGTTTTACAACACCATAAACCAGCAAACCGTTCAACAGGCAGCATTAATTACAGCATTATGTAGTTCACTGGTTGTTAATTCCATAGAGGTCATGACAAAAAGATGAGCAGTTAAGCTGACTTTAAACTACAGGTGGACAACTTATTTTTCTCTGTTTTTATTTGCAGGGTGACCCTGGTATTGAGGGTCCCATTGGTCATCCTGGACCAAAAGTAAGTCTTTAACATTAGGCACCATTTTTCAGCCAGATGTCTTTCCAAGATATTCTGTTTTCCTGATATTACACTCCTGACTGTTTATTTGTGTTTTAATTGTGTTTTATTTGTTGTTATTTCTATCATTTTAGGGAGAGCCTGGTTACAAAGGTGAAAAGGTGAGATTCATCCTAAATATAACCTATAAAGATAACTACATGACATGAAACACATGAACTGCACCTCAAGCAAAAATTCAGCTCTGAATAAACATTCTTTTCTTTTAACTCATAGGGAGAGATTGGCACACAAGGAAGGAAGGTAAGGTCATATGTCATTCTGTCTTTGTATGCCATTTATTTAACACAACACGTCAAATAATTCGGTAATGAAATGGTGCTTTTATGTTGTATTCTAATATCTTCTCTTCTTGTGCTAGGGAGTGGCAGGGCTGCCAGGACGTAACGGCACAGATGGTCAGAAGGTGAGGATGGCCATTTAGTATCTTTGATGTGGATATTGGATCTTGTTGGTAATCTTTAGTTTAGTTAAAGGCCTCTGGTTAATTCTGGCTAATTCAAGTACAAATGTAATCTGTTCTGCAGGGAAAAATTGGTCGCATTGGCGCCCCTGGCTGCAAAGGTGATCATGGTGACAAGGTATGTGTGTGATGCATTATATGTGAGCGGACACATAACAGTGACTTAAACAAGTGTATTAACAGATTGTCCATTCATTTGACAGGGTCCTGGCGGTTATCCTGGAGATGTAGGAGACACTGGGCAGCCAGGAGGTCCTGGAGAGAAGGTATGTTGATTCTACAGAAAAAAATATAATTAGCATCATATGCATGTAGTTTAATTTCTTGCACTTTTGCTGTGTGGTGATTTTAAACAACTCTTTGTTTCTAGGGAGATCCAGGTCGCCCAGGTAGACCAGGACCACTCGGCCCTCCTGGAGACCCTGGTCCTAAGGTACATTTTGGGAAAAAAAAAAATCAATAATATTTAGTTCAAACTAGTGAACTTAAAACATTTCTGATTAGATGTTTTATTGACTGTCTTATCCCCCTTCAGGGTGAGAGAGGAAGTCCAGGAACACCTGGTATCCCAGGGCAGAAGGGCTCTGCAGTGAGTATTTCGTTTTTTGTTTTGTTTTTTTCTATTGCTTTTTTTTCTTTGATATTTTCTGATCTTAAAAGATCTTTAAACTTTAACCTATTTTACAGGGCACACCAGGAGGCGCTGGCCCTAAAGGCGACCCTGTAAGTGAAAACATATTGTGAATTTATTTGAACTTGTACTGTGCTGTTATGTTGATATGTTGTATGTTCACATTTGCTGTTGTATTGATAGGGAAGAAGAGGAGACTTTGGACAAAAGGGAAGCCCGGGAGCAGCTGGGCCAAAGGGAGACAAGGTACATCCCATTCCCTTTGGCTTCTTTAGGCAGAATGTATATGTCATATGTTTAACACAGAATCTGACTGGTTTGCTATTAAAAATAAGAGGAATTAAGACTAGCCCAACAGTCAGTTCTATTGAAATGAAAGCATGGTGTGAATGATTGATGTGTGTTTCAGGGTGAACCAGGTCCTGAAGGTGTGAGAGGGCTTCCAGGTGAAGTTGGCAGCAAAGGAACCAAGGTAATTTCCTTCAAACCCAAGTTGTTAACAAGATATTATTATTCATTCTTCTTGGATGCATCTAGGACCAGAATGTCCCTTTCTTCATATATTTAGGGAGACCCAGGACTTCCAGGACCAAGAGGCCTACCAGGAGCTCCAGGAGAGCCTGGAAGAAATGTAAGATAACTTCCTGATGCAATTTTCAGTACTAAACTGAAAACATTTGTTTAATAGCTCCAATAAAATACAGAATATTAATAGTAAATGGTAGTAAATGGTTATTACTGTTGGTTAGTTTTTCTGCTTTTGGTTATAGTGTTTTATGTTGATCTTAAATCAGCCTTTAAATGCAGAAGACGTTCTTCTTTGTGGTAACAGGGTACTCGTGGTGACTCCGGCGATCCAGGCCCCAGAGGCGACCCAGGACCCCCAGGACCGAAGGTATGTTCCAAATGTGTCAAACGTACAACTTAATTTTAAATCTCAAATGAATTACAGGCTAAGTAAGATTCACCACTTGAGCAAACAGCATACAGAGCTTTGAACAGAATTCCACTCCATACACATTTTTTGTGGGTCATAGACTAGGATTTTGATGTGTTACTCTTTCTGTGAATGCCTCATAATGTTGCCTTTTGCCTTTATTGTTGAACAGAGAGAATATAGGTGATCTACCAATTCTCCATACATGTGTTGTTTGAAAACAAGTCACAAATTGTATGAATTCTTGGTGTGATATATTGTACCCAAAGGGATGTAGTTACAAAAAGTGTTCGTATTTTTTACTTAATGTTTTGTCCTTTGTGTATTACACTGTTTATAGTTACTTTTGATGTGCCATGATGGGTCAGTGGGAGAAGCCTTTTTCAGTTCAGAGTATGAGGAAGTCTTCTTGTGTTTTTTTAAGGCACTGTAGTATGAAAATGTAACGTAGGATTAGACCACGATTGTATTGATCATGCTGAGCATACTGACCACATGCTTAGCTTGTTTCTGTCAGATCTGTGTTCAATTTATTGTGTCTCATGTTACAGGGTGACCCAGGCAGACCAGGATTCAGCTACCCAGGACCAAGAGGACCAACGGTACCATGACTGTAATTTGGTTCAACATGTGAAGTTTACTTTATATGAAGCCACATGCCACAGCCATTCAAATTTCTAACCTCTCACAGGGAGACAGAGGAGATAAAGGTAGACCTGGACCGAGAGGGAGCAGAGGAGACTGCGGACAGAAAGGAGAGCCAGGCCAGAAAGGAACTCCAGGAGAGCCTGTGAGTAAATCTGTTACATTTTTTTCCTGTTTTCAAAGGATCAAGGCCTGACCTTTACAGTACACCATATATTTGGAAGTGGACTATAAAATTAGATGCTTGTTGAAGGCTTTGGTTGTTGTCTATGTCAGGGCGAGCCTGGACCTCAAGGGGAGCCTGGACCAAGGGGGCCAAGAGGAGACCCAGGAAGAGACGTGAGTATAGCGGCTGTTCAGACAGTATAAGATCAGATATTCTTATGTAATGCAACACATGTTGCATGTTTATTAGGGTTGTCTAAATAGGATGTAAGGTTAGTGAGGATACTTGGAGTTTCTACTTTGTATCAACTGATCCTTCTTTTCATCAGGGTGATCCTGGTCCAGAGGGAGACGCTGGCCTCACAGTAAGTGTCGGAATCTTTTTAGTTACCTTTTTAGATATTTAAAACAGTGGTTCGGTTTTATGGTGCTATGAACCTCTTGAATGTGGGGCTACACTTCAGTTCCTCACTCTCATAACTACATAACTTGCATTTTAGGTTCACAGTACAGATGATGCCCTAAAGAACCATATGTGAAAAAGAGTTTTGTGAGTGTGACCTTTAAAAGGGTTTAAATAACCTTCACACAATGTTAAGGTTTTATATCAATTTAAAGGTTCTTCTTAGAACCATGACATTAGGGGGAGGTTCTTTAAACTAAACTAAAAAGATTCTTCACACTATTCTCATTTACAGAACTCTCTAAAGAACCATCCAATGAAGGTTTTGAAAGGTTTTCAAGGAAGCAAAGTGATTCTTCTATGGCATCATTCAGCTCTTTTTGGTACTATCTTAAGATGAATCACTGAATAATAAGCCTAGCCTTCAAGAAATTAACTTCTTTACTTCTCCTCAGGAATGTGATGTCATGAACTACATCCGAGAGACCTGTGGGTGTTGTGGTAAGTGACCACTGACCTGTCAAGCCACAGGAAATGAACGGTACGATTACATAGTTTCGATTTCTGCAACTGACTTTCTCTGTTTCTTCCCTCTTGTGTTTCAGACTGTGAGAAGAGGTGTGGAGCTCTGGACATTGTATTTGTGATTGACAGCTCGGAGAGTGTGGGGCTGACCAACTTCACCCTGGAGAAGAACTTTGTTATCAACACCATCAACAGATTGGGCTCTATAGCCAAGGACCCCAGCTCAGAGACAGGTGAGGAAAATTTACTACTGTACCACACATAATCCAACATAGTTTATTAAAAACATGAATTAAGAAGCAAAATGAACAGAAATTGTATGTTGTGTGAAATGTTATCCAAACAAATGGAGGAATATGTTTTTCAGTTCTCAGTGGCAACAAGTTGTAATCTTTTGCTTTGCAGGAACACGTGTTGGTGTTGTCCAGTACAGTCACAGTGGAACTTTCCAGGCCATTAGTCTTAACGACTCCAAGATCGATTCACTGTCAGCTTTCAAAGATGCTGTGAAGCAGCTGGAGTGGATTGCTGGTGGCACATGGACTCCATCCGCTCTAAAATTTGCCTATGACAGCCTGATCCGTGACAGTCGACGTGCCAAGGCTAAAGTCACTGTGGTGGTCATCACGGATGGTCGCTTTGATCCCAGAGATGACGACTCTCTGCTCACGTACCTCTGCACAGACAGCGACATCGATGTGAGTGCCATCGGTATTGGAGACATGTTTGAACAACAAGAGGAGAACGAGAGTCTGAAGTCCATCGCCTGTCAGAAGGAAGGAAGAGTGATGGGCATGAGACGCTTCGCTGACCTGGTGGCAGAGGAATTCATAGACCGGATTGAGACTGTGCTTTGCCCAGGTACTAGGTCCATGTGTATAAATCAGTCCTTCTCTTCTATAATGTGTGCCTGTCACACAGAAATTTTGTTTTTGTCCATGTATATAAATCAGTCCACTTCTTTTGTAATGTGCGCCTATTCATACATTTTGTTCTTTGTTTTTGTGTTTTAGACCCAGTGATCATCTGCCCTGACCTTCCATGTAAATCTGGTAAGATTTGAATTATTTATAACTGGCTTTTTAAAAAAAAAATCTGCGTTTAAAAAAATCAGTGCTGGTTGGATTCATACCAAGAAACCCTGTCTTTTAAGTGCATCGCTGGAATTAACAGTTCACATTCCAAAGGGTAGATTATTCTTGTCCATTTTCAACATGAAACACATCCTAATCTCCTTTTTCACATGACTTAAAGTAGTGACGTCACATGCATATCCTTATCTCCCATTTACCTGACTTAAAAATCTAAGAACTAAAATCTCCTTCAATAGTCAGAAACTAGTGCTGAAGCCATGATTTGAATCACAGCTAGCAGGCTAACATTAAAGTAACAAATGAGAATGCTGTAAGAAGCCCCATATCCTGTTCTGTCTGAGCAGAATAATCCAGCTGCTTTATTATCAGCATAAACATATAACATTTCTGAGCACCAGAAATGTGTTAAAATAAGCATATCAAGGTGATGCAGGTAGCAGAACCCCAAAAAATCTAATGAGTAGCTCCATACAGTTTTAAAAATAGCAGCTTTGCTAAAACTCCAAACCATTATCAATCTAAGCATAGCTTGCACTGTGCTCAGTGGGCGCTCGGAGACCCCTAAAACTATTGTCTCACCGCTCACTTGCAGATGTGGAGTCCCAGTGGAATGGGTACCCCTTACACGGACCCCTTGCAGAGGAAGGGACGGACAACCCTGTCCCAAGCACTGTACCGAGCGTCTCAAACTTAATCAGCTCTCTACAGGAGGCCAAGCACCCTGATAGCTACAGCAAGGCTGTAGCCACAATGGCCTACACAGCCCAGAGAGCCAAGTTTGCCATCGGACCAGAGAGACAGCAGTGGACTGATCTGTTCATTGACTCTTTCAGAGTTGTCTATGGCGACATCATGGGCGACCCTAACAAAGCGTTGATGTTGTGTTAGGGAACAGTGGCTCCTGATTTGGCCAAATTGGGCTTTATATTGGCTATATTTGGCTTCATATTATTAATGGCCTCGCTGTAGATCTATGTATGAGAAAAAAAAATATCTAAAAGCTAGCTGGTCTAAGCATGATTGTAACATTATGACAGTTTAATTGTAGCTATACCCTACTGTGATAGCTAACATCGTTCTGAAAGAGCTATGTTCATGGCCAAAGGTGGATGACTAACATGTAATGGCCAGTTGGACGACCACTACTAAGCATGGCACTTTGCTAACCTGCTTTTTTTTGACTTGGAGGAGACCATAAGTGAGATGGAAACCTCTTCCTTCTGACCTCAGATCCTGCTGCTTTTTGAGATACTTTCACATTAGTCTCTTTAACCTATGTACTTGAAAAAGACGAAGAGGTAGAATGAAAGCATCCTGATTGACTGTGAGACACTTTGCTTGCACGATACAGTCTTTTTAACCTGGGCTAAGCTGCTTGAACACTCAAGATATGGGAGATCACATTAATTTTGGTTCTGACCTTACAGGAATCTTAATGCAGAGGGAGATATCCCATAGCTATGAATAATCAGCTGTGAAAAAGACAGTGATCACACAAATGCAAAGTGCTTGTATATGTTCCATCTATGTTGATCCATGATGTTTTTTTTCTATTAATGTGATACAGTTTTGCACTTTTCACAATGCTAAGCCCCAGCATTTCTTTAGCTTTCATAGCTCATCAGACGAAATGCAACATGCATCCATGATATGGTAAAGAGATTAGATGTGCTGTTGATCTGGTGTCATCAGTATCTAATTAATCTCTATTAATCAAAACATAAAGGGTAGAGGGGGAACAGTGTCGTCTTTTATGTCTGTTCTTTATGTAGGCTTCAGTTACACTTTACACTTTAAGTATTAAGGGAGGATAACCATTTCACTGTGATTAAACTATAAATACCCAACATTATTTATTCATGAACAAAAGGAGTAAGTAAGTGAGTAACAATGAAAATTAAAAAAAAATGGGGTTTCACATTATTTCAGTTTATGAACGTTTAAGTGAGAATGTCAGTAATGCAGATTAAAGTTAACATAGCTATCATATTTAACGTAATAGTGTTGTATATTAGGAATGTGCAATGAAAAATAAAGAACTCGTAAGACTGCAATAAATATACACAAGCTAAAGGGCATTATAGCTATTTTGTATCAAATAAACTTGTCTAGCAACCAGTTACTGATTTATGTTTTTTTTTATTGTCTGTTTTGAACCACTTCTTTGACTTGACTCGTCCTTCAGGAACATTATTCAGAGCATAAAGCACCCTCTGAGACAAACTGAGATATCCAGCATCAAACATGAACATTTATGGTTGAATGGCCATAATCATTAAGCCCCTGTCTTATTGGTTGCCCTACATGTGCTTCATTCAAAACAGTGGTCAGGGCTGAAACCCCCCTTATAACTTCACTAAACTGCTTTAAGCTGAATAGGCAGATGTTGGTAAATGTGGTGGCTTTAGTGAAATCACAAAAACAGTGAATACAAAATGGGCCATTTTGCAGCTTAGTTTCCACTAGTGATTCACCAAATTGAAAATTCCTGCCCAACACCAAAATCAACATTCAAGACACACCTGGCCTTTTTTTATTTAATTTGCCATTTTATTTATGATTTTGAATAACTGTACTAAGCATTAAAAACTCAAAAGTTAATAAGGAAAAGATTCTTATTACTGATAACATCTATTTTCAATAGGATAAACCCAAGCTGGCAATAAATAAAAATAGCTTACATTAAATAAACTTGCTAACACAGTATTATTATTACTAATATTATTATTATTGTTATTATTATTATTATTATTATTACAGCTACAGAATGCATCACAGAATCCACAACAACAATCATTCAAATGATTTGTAAGTTTTAGATTTTTACATTTTGTTCTAGTCTTATTATCTTTTTTTTCAGCCAAATTTTACAGCCTTTTTTTCTGTTTTGGCTGAAATGTTTTATGGGCCCTCTAATACGATAGCCAGAGTGAAGAGCTGTGGGGCAAAAATCAGTATGGTTTAAAGGTTTAATCCTGTTTTACTCTGGCTTAGCTGTTTAGTTTTAGCTCCCAAAACATGAATGTGTAGGATTCCTGTCACTTTTTATTTTTATTTCTACTGTGGATTGGACGTACTGTAGCATTTCCTCATTTACAGCAGTTCAGGAATAACTTTGGATAATGTGAATGTGGTATATGAAGTCAGTCCTAATTGTTAAGCTGTGTATTTGTCTCCTACAGAGCCAGCAGTGGCCAGCTGTGTCCAGCGGCCAGTTGATCTTGTGTTCTTGCTGGACGGCTCAGAACGTATGGGCCAGGAGAACTTCCGCCATGCACGTGAGTTTGTGGAGAACGTGGTTCAGCGATTGACCTTGGCTCGGAGCGACAGCGATGAAAGGAACACCCGCGTGGCTTTGCTGCAGTACGGTGATGAGAACACTCAGGAAGTGGCTTTCCAGCTCTCACACAATTTCACCATCATCTCCAATGGCCTGGCGAACATGAGGTACCTGGATTCGGCCTCCAATGTGGGCAGGGCCATTATGTACGCCGTCAACAACATCTTGATGAGTGGAACCAGCCGACTGGCCCGCCGAAATGCTGAAATCTCCTTCGTCTTCATTACTGATGGTGTCACCAGCAGTAACAATCTGGAGGAGGGCATCAGCGCCATGCGCAGGATGGAGGGTGTTCCCACGGTGATCGCCATGGGCAGCGACGTTGACCAAGAAGTGCTGGCGAAGCTCGCACTGGGAGACCAGTCCGCTATTTTCAAGGGACAGGATTTCACCCAGCTGTCCAAACCCAGCTTCTTTGAGCGTTTCATCCGATGGATCTGCTGAAAGTGGGAGGGGATCTTAAGCTCATACTAATGGAGGGGAGGAATTGGTGTGTTATTGGAGTCAGCTTGGTCGTTAGGGTCATTAGCAGAGTTTGAAGCAATTTCATCTCAGCTTTGTAGGTTCTGGAAATACATAAATTTAAAGGATCACATGAATTTATAGCAGAAGTGGGGGGCTTTCATGGGTATTCTTGGATTTCAATTTCCTGACCCTGCAGGTTAAGCGGAAAGAGTGATCTTTGGGTTGCATCCTAATCATCAAGCTCACTCCATAATGTACCAGTGGACTTGGGCTAAAGGAGCAGGAAGACACAAAAAAAGTTAAAAGATAAACACTCCAAAGATTATTTACTGAATGTTTAACTTTTTGATAAAGTTGCCATTGTAGGGTTTTCTTTTTATTTCTCTTTTTTTTTTAAAGAAGAGGGCTTTACCTAAATTGTTTTGTATTCACACTAAGGTGCTAAACCAGAGCAAGACTGGAGTTTTTCCTGTAAATCTTTGAAAGAACTTTTAATAAGTTGTCGCATACCAGCTGAAATCATTCTAATTCAGGGTTAAATGAAGCCATTTATACAAAAGAACATATCACATATCTCAGTCATAGTTACATAGTTGCCTCAGTATGTTGCACTAGATCAGGGGGGCTCAGTTCCGCTCCTTGAGGGCAGCACAGGTTAGTGATTTCCCTGCTCAAAAACACCTGATTTAATGTATCACTCATTGTTTTGATCATCAGATTTAGATGGTGTGTTGGAGCAAGGAAATCAGCAAACTGCACCGAACTTTGAGTTGAGCAGCCCAGTCCTAGCCTTAATGATACAGATAAACTGAAGTAGTCATTATTTACTTCATACCTGATACAGGGACCCAGTCACACCACAGCTTCTTCTTCAGTCACAGGGACAGACCAGAATTACCTATCATCACTCACAGGTGCACTCTTGCTTTGATACATGCTTATGAGAGGGCATGAAGTGTTCATGTTAAATGAAGTGTTGAAAGTATGTTCACATACTTAGCTATAAAAGGAAGAATGACCACAATTGAAAAATTGTTGCTGAGTCTTTAAAGAGCACTGTAATCAGATGTAGTCAGTACACTCTAGGATGCCATGATGATGACATGAGTATTTTGACGTGCTGTAGGACACCTGAAGGATGAACCCCATTATTTTGTCAACTTCAGTGTTAGTACAATAAAACAAGCTGTGGTAAACTACACTTTTGCTTTGCTGTCATTGTTGTCAAAATCCACACAACATAAAATGATGATGAACCGTAAAACAGTACTTTTCTCAGATTGCTGTATTACGTTTAACACTGGAAAAAAAAACGTAATTATAAAAGAAAATTGTGCTGTTTCCCAATGGGGACAAACACTTAAACTCATTTAATCCATTACGATCATGAATTATTTAACTCTATCTGTAATGAGATTACATTATTTTCTTCTTCATGGGAAAACAGGTAATCTCACTACTCATTACTTCTGCGTTACTCTCTTAAATAATACAAATCTGTACCAAAATCCTTATAGGAAAGTCTGTTCACTCGGTGGCCATCTTGGCAACACTGCCGGGCAGTTATTTCCAGCCATACAAGACCAGGGGCCGTACTACAGAAACTTCTTAACCCTGAAATCTTATCTGTTTAGACACCATGACAGCTTTAGACTGAATCTAGGAGAGAAGCTATTACAGAACAACAGTTCTTAAGTTCATAGTTTTATCTTGACTCCAGATAAGAAAAGTCTCACAGAAAAATCCTGACCAGACAAAATTTCCTAAATTCTAACAGAATTTAAGACAATCCCAGAGGTGTCTTAACTCTTGCTTTAACCATCTGTTTCTATTGTTTCATGCAGTGACAGGCAGCATAGTTCATTATAACTAGCATAATGATGTTACATTTATCTACATTGAAAAAAATGCTTTGACATTTTTTCTAGCAGTGTTTTAAAAATTCAGACACTGCAGACATGATCTCCACCATCCCCTCTTACTACCTTCTTGTGTTAATGTTAATGAAAACTCTTCAAGTAAAATATTACAGTGACGGCAGTGAATTATAAGGAGACAGAGCTGAATGTGTTGTTTATTAGGAGGAATAACGTTAGCGTGGTCGGCTGAAATGTTTGGGAAACTGAAAATGTAGAAGGGTGACGCTCTGATAACACAAAGCGCTGATACAATATTCTGAACTTTATCACGTGTAGGTTTTGTTTGACCTTTTTTACATCAGTAACGGTAGCTAACTGTCTGGATAACTTGATTATTTTAATTACATGTTTATGTTTCAGCTGTGCGTGTATGGTTGGTTGCTTGGAAACAGACACGACAGTTGATTGTCGACTTCGATAGAGTGAGTTAAGATTTCATAACTCAAGATAAGATGCTGTAAGATGAGATTCCTAAATTAAGATACGATTTGCTTCTGTCATACAAATTAGTAAAAAATGTTATCTTGACCTGTCAGATCTTAACATAAGACAAAAGGACAGGAAGTTTATGGCCTCAGGCTCCAATCTCTTTGAATAGGGAGAAACCAAAATGCTCAAAACTGAAGGTCAAATTACCGATTTAAAAACATATTTGAAATTACTGGTTAAATCTGACAAATACCTTAAAACAGTTTGCAGCGTTTGGCACAGTAACGCACATGAAACGTTTTTCTGGTTGTTCCTGCTACTGCGCATGCGCAGATCTCAACAGCAAAGAGTAGCTTTTCCTCTTGCGACTTAACCAGCGAGCTGATTGGCTCTTTTTCTTGAAGGGCGGGACTTTCACCGCAAACAGACGGCATGTTAAGCGTCACGAGCTATCACGTTAGTTTTTCAACCAGTGACCAGTTTCCTCTATATAACATCTCTGCCTGTGCATGGGGGGTCCCAGGCCCCCAGCGTTTGCCTTCCAAAGCATTAGGTGTTTATGCACGAGAGGACCATTTGAGAGCAGCTCTCCGTTCACGTCCATTCATTTCAGGAAACATTCAGTCCAAAAAATAAAGGCACACCTGAGCGGTTTTAGATTACCTTATAGTCCTGTCCTCTTCTACAGAGAGGGGACTGTCTGTTATTTTATCCACAGGTATGTCAATCACGATTTAGCTTAAAAAAAAAAAACGTGTATCCACAATAGTACAGAAAATGATGTGATAAAGCTGTGACTCCAAAGACTGCGTTGTAATGTTTGATTGTAATGTAGAAGTTCCTCACTAGTACAGAGCAGGAAACAGGTTTGCTATATAATAATAATAATAATAATAATAATAATAACAATAATTATTATTATTGACTGTAAAACAATAATAATGTAAATAAGAATTCCCCTTTATGTATGTTTTCGCTGTGCTGACGTTGTCTTGCTCTGCTTTCTAATTCTACAGGACATTTTACACAAACAACTAATGGTGGAGGAAGTAGTAACTAAAATTCATTATATGGTGAAAGTGTACTGTTTGTGGTGATTTATGCTCCCTTCAGCACGTTCACAGAATTTTGGGCAGCTTCTACAAACAGTTCGCTTATTTGCCCTACATGCTTTAGATTTGCGACATTAAGGCACCTGCGCAGTCTCACATGTTCCCGCTATCCACCGCACGAAAAGCAGATCAGGAAGTGACCTCTAGGATCGACCTCACCTGGTCCCCAGTGGAAACAGCTGGATGACTGGGTCTACTTTATATATACTGTCAATGGGGGATCTGCGCCCCCTGCCCGACCTGCCCCGCGCATGCGCACCTCTCCACTGTCACACATGCTTAGAGAACATTACTTTTACCAGAACTGCCCGATCTGTACCGCATACATATAAGCATTTATGGCTGTATAAAGGGGTAGTTGAGCTGTAATAAAACGGCCATATTTTTCAGCAGTAATTACGTGTGTATTTTGCGCTCTTCTCTGCTCGGTTGGCTGCTTCTCAGCGGTTTTGCTTTGTGTAAGACAGCGTACTTAACCTGTAGCATGAACAAAGCTGGGCAAAGTGTCCAATTCCTTTCTGTTTCCTATGTACTGTGCCTTTAAACAGTAATGTCTGAATAAAAGTAATTTATCTTCAGTCGTATCTGCACAACATCCTGTCTAGCATTAAGTGCACTATTGGGTGTCGAAGCCGTGATTTCATGACCTATGCACCGCACTGTACAGGGAGTTAGGAACCATTTGAGATTCAGCCAGACATGCTCTCATACAAAACCAGAATGATAGTAACACTGCGCAGGTTTTTTGTCCGTGTCCCTCTCATTTCTTGTGTGTGAGTAAATGCAGTTTGATTATAAGAGTTAATGCTACTTCTTTCCATCAAAAAGTAATTCCATTACTTTAACATGCTGCTTTGTGCCATGTTACTCCAAAACTGTTCTCTCATTCTCATTCTTCTCTCCAGCACTCTTCTGTGAGGAGAATGTGCTGCACACAGTTATGTGAAGGGCAACTGCAGTTCTTTTTTGAGAATTTAAGACGTCACCCTGTTTTACGTCCACCAGTTGAATGTGTTTCTGTGTATAAACTACTACTTCCTGTCAGTTCTTCCAAAAGAGTCTCCCTCTAAGTGTTATTTGTATTATTCATATACATAATGCATCATAGGTAGTCTGTCTCTGAAGGTTGGAAAGGTGAGTGGACTAAGCACAATTGATTCATATTGACCTAGCAAAGAAATCCCTCTTGTCCTGCAGTACAGGGGTGTACGAAATAACCACATAAAAATACTCACTGGCCATTTTATCAAGTACACCTACTATATAGGTGTTTACAGATGCTGACTGTAGCCCACCTGTTGCTGCACAATCTATCAGTCCCCTCTACCCCATCCATCAATGGAAAAGGACAACCGTTGACAAGATATTATTTGGGTGGTGGTCCATTCTTAGCACAGCAGTGACACTGACATGGTGGCGGTGTGGCGGTGTGGTATTGATGAGTGGAGTAGAAGGGAAGGCTGTCACATTGTGCAGCACAGATGAGCTACAGTCAATAGTCATATACTTACACAGCACAGCTATATGATAGGTGTGTCTGGTAAAACGGCCAGAGTATGAGTATTCCACATGGCCTTTCTCCTATTTTGTTATCCCCCCTATATATCTGTACAATGTAAATTCAAAAGCCAATTATTAAGCATTTTATTCATTACTAAGGGACACAATAAAGCACACAAAGCAACCTACTACAGTAACTATATCATTGTAACAATACGGCTGGTTTTGAGAAAACGTTATGGAGTGTAGGTGGAAATATTCACACGTTTCAACTGATGATCCGTTTCTCTCTAGAGTTTGCTTTCCCATTTTCACATTCTCTTTCTACGTATTGCTTTATCGCAGTTAAAGGTCAAAGTCTTCTTTCATCTCCATTTTTTTCACGGGAAAAGTTGCCTTTTACCCTAGAAGTGTATTACCTAATCACAGGCTCTGTCCAATATCCCCAAATGCTGCTGGGTCGTTAACTATTTAGCCAAGTGTGCACTTACGCTAAGTATTTCCATTATTTATTAATAGCACTCAAGCAGATACCTCTTGGCTGCATCTCAAATGACTCCGTACACTCTATACAGCGCTTCACACGGGTCATGAAATGATAGCTTCTCACCATAATAGTACACTACACGTCCACTACGGAACGATTTGGGATTCAGCCGTTGGAACTTCAGGAGGGACCGCTGTGCGTCTGAGACATTTCATTGGATGTTACTTCTTTCCATCTGCTGTATTAAGCCAATCAGCAGCGGCCCTTTTTTGGGAACGCCTCCATTTGCGCGGTTGTAGCAGGTAGGTTCAGGAAAAGGCGCCGCGTTGGAAAAGTGAGTGCTTTTTGGGCGAAGTCTTCTTGAATGTTATTTTATTGTGAGCTAGGCACGGAGGATATAGTGAATGGCGACTGGAGCAGTTAACCGTGTTTGTAAATGTTTCCTGACAGCCCGGTTCGGTGGGCCGTTCTTCCGTAAATACCAGAAAGAGCCTAACGTAGGAATCTGCACTGAGCTTGGACAAAATAATAAAATGAAGTCTTGTGTATCAGTGTAACAGTACTGTAACCAAGTTTAGCCACTAATGCTGTTTGTGTTTTTTGAGTCTGTTTTTCTCTGCAGTATTTCAGGATGGCCAGCACTGCTGTCGAGTTCATTAAGGATCTTTGTACTCCGGCTTTTGTTGTTGACCTCGATACCGTGAAGCGAAATGCAAGTGAGATGTTGGATCGCTTCCAGAAGCTCGGAGTGCAGCTAAGGCCTCATATGAAAACCCATAAAACACTGTAAGATTACAGCTCAGATCAGTCATTGACCACCCTGGAGGTACAATTATTTATCTGCTTTGAATACAGATAGGCTACCTCTGCAGAAAAAAGTTTCTAGTTCTCCAGAAAATTGTAGAGGAGTGCGATACCACGGTGAAGTTAGTTTTATTTTCGATATTCGTCTTTCCGGCGCTAATAACATTTGATCGGACTACAGTAGTCAGCGAAGACTTACATATTCATGACAGTACGACCACAGAGAGAGATGCACACCTGTTCTTTTGCAGTTTGGGTGACATTTAACGTACCGCTATTTTGTGTTAATACCATAGAACTGAGACACGTTTTTCAATCAGAAGAGAAAGCATGCACTTCTAGACCACACCTACATCCATGCACACGCCTCTGTTTTCCTCCAAAGCGTTTCAGTGCATTTAAATACATATTTAATTGTTCAAGCTAACAATAGACACCGCCAGACAATTAAACATCAATAGCTCCATAAACACTGTGTCCATACACGTCTGATTAATTGTGTTATTTGCTCTAAATTATGGTTAGAAATACACACCACTTTAATTTAGAGAAAGGACTTTGAATACACCTGTAACTAAAATGTACTTGCCAATACTTGTCCTAACAGTCCTGAGCATGCCTTACCTGTAAAAACTGATATTACCTGTATACTGATATAGCTAGTTAGCTTGATGATGGAGGTTCAGTAATCGACAGACATTAGCAGTCTTGAAGGTTCAATAGATCCTTAACCATCTAAAATATTAGTTTTAAAAATGAGAGCGTAGAAAAGAAAATGCCTTAGTTAAGTGGATCAAATTGCAAATCAAAAGTTTTATAAATCCATCAAAAACTCAGTGAGTCAGACTTAAGTTATTTTTTCCATTTTCAAATTCGACATTTTAGACAATGAACATTTAAAATACTGCTTAGATTCAAAATGCAGCATTCACTGCAATTAATACAGCTGAAATGCTTTTGAATGTTAAAATACAAATATTAATATAAAGTAATTATTGCAGTACATTCAAAATTCAAAAGTTGTGTATGATTGCTGTAACTTGCTGCACCATACACAACTGTTGGTAGTGTCGGGTGTAATACAGCTGAAATATTATTAAAATTCTAAATATATAAAAATTAATAAAAAGTAGTCACAGCAACATATCCAAAATCCAAATGCTGTGCATCATTGCTGACACCTCACTGCACCATACACAACTGTTTTTAATGTCGTAAATAATGCAGCTGAAATATTATTGAAACTCAAAATACATAACAATTAATAAAAAGTAGTTAAAGCAATATATCCAAAATTCAAAGGCTGTGCATCATGGCTGACACTGCACTGCACCATATACAGCTGTTTTTAATGTTGTAGGTAATTTAGCTGAAATAGCTTTATACTTTATATTAATGTTTATGTATTTTGAATTTCAATAGCATTTCAACTACATTACATACATCACTAAAACCCTTGAATATGGTTCAGCAAGATGTCAGCAATCATACACAAGTTTTGGATTTTGGATGTAATGCAATATCTCATTTAAATAATTTTTATATATAACTATATATAACTGCTTTATATAATTTTTTATTTATTTTGAACATCAATAATATTTCAGCCACATTACATACAACACCAAGAAATAACTGTATGGTGCAGCATTTTTTGGATTTTGGATCTAATGCAATATCTCATTTAAATAATTTTTTATACATTTTGAATTTCAATTATATTCCAGTAACATTGCATACAGCACTACAAAGAATTGTGTACAGTGCAGTGAAGTGTCAGCAGTCATACACACTGTTTGGATTTTGGATATAATGCAATAAATACGTTATATTTTTTAAAATTTAATTTGAACTTCAATATTATTTTGCCCATCTTACATACAACACTTAAAACTACTGTGTATGGTGCAGTGCAGTGACAGCAATGATGCACAGCCTTTGGATTTTTGATATAATGCAAAAACAACTTTATATTAATTTTTATTTATTTTGAACTTCAATAATATTTTGGCCATCTTACATAAAACACTAAAAATAACTGTGTATGGTGCAGTGCAGTGTCAGCCATGATGCACACCTTTTGGATTTTGGATATATTGCTTTAACTACTTTTTATTATTTTTTATGTATTTCGAACTTCAATAATATTTCAGCTGCATTATTTACAACATTAAAAACAGCTGTGTATGGTGTAGTGAGGTGTCAGCAATGATGCACAGCCTTTGGAATTTTGATATATTGCTGTAACTACTTTTTATTAATTTCTATGTATTTTGAATTTCAATAATATTTTAGCTGCATTATTTACAACATTAAAAACAGTTGTGTATGGTGCAGTGAGGTGTCAGCAATGATGCACAGCCTTTGGATTTTTGATATATTGCTGAAACTACTTTTTATTATTTTTTATGTATTTTGAATTTCAATAATATTTCAGCTGAATTATTTACAACATTAAAAACAGCTGTGTATGGTGCAGTGAGGTGCCAGCAATAATGCACAGCCTTTAAATCTTGGATATATTGCTTTAACTACTTTTTATTCATTTTTATGTATTTTGAATTTCAATAATATTTTAGCTGCATTATTTACAACATTAAAAACAGTTGTGTATGGTGCAGTGAGGTGTCAGCAATGATGCACAGCCTTTAAATTTTGGATATATTGATTTAACTTTTATCAATTTTGAATTTCAGTAGCATTTCAGCTGTATTACACCCAACACTACAAACAATTGTGTATGGTGCAGGTAAGTTACAGCAATCATACACAACTTTTGAATTTTGAATGTACTGCAATCATTACTTTTTATTAATATTTGTATTTTAACCTTCAAAAGCATTTCAGCTGCATTAATTGCAGTGAATGCTGCATTTTGAATCTAAGCAGTATTTTAGCTACATTATATCCTCAAGTGAAATTCAAAGTTTGTGTGTCATTACTAAAACTTATCTGCACCAAACACTGCTGATTTAAATGTTCTGTGTCTAAAATGTTATCGAAATTCAAAATGAAAAAAATGTACAAGATTTAAAACTTACATCTGACTCACTTAGTGTTTGATGGATTTATAAAACTTTTGATTTGCAATTTGATCCACTTAACTAAGGCATTTTCTTTTCTACACTCTCATTTTTAAAACTAATATTTTAGATGGTTAAGGATCTATTGAACCTTCAAGACTGCTAATGTCTGTCAATTACTGAACCTCCGTCATCAAGCTAACTAGCTATATCAGTATACAGGTAATATCAGTTTTTACAGGTAAGGCATGCTCAGGACTGTTAGGACAAGTATTGGCAAGTACATTTTAGTTACAGGTGTATTCAAAGTCCTTTTTCTAAATTAAAGTGGTGTGTATTTCTAACCATAATTTAGAGCAAATAACACAATTAATCAGATGTGTATGGACACAGTGTTTATGGAGCTATTGACGTTCTATTGTCTGGCGGTGTCTATTGTTAGCTTGAACAATTAAATATGTATTTAAATGCACTGAAACGCTTTGGAGGAAAACAGAGGCGTGTGCATGGATGTAGGCGTGGTCTAGAAGTGCATGCTTTCTCTTCTGATTGAAAAACTTGTCTCAGTTCTATGGTATTAACACAAAATAGCGGTACGTTAAATGTCACCCAAACTGCGAAAGAACAGGTGTGCATCTCTCTCTGTGGTCGTACTGTCATGAATATGTAAGTCTTCGCTGACTACTGTAGTCCGATCAAATGTTATTAGCGCCGGAAAGATGAATATCAATAATAAAACTAACTTTACCGTGGTGAGTGCGATAGTATCGTAATCATATCATTATTGTCGAATAATTGCTTAAAATAAATTATTGGCATCAAACAAATGTTTAGATTTGACCTATATTTGATGACGCATTTGTTATACTCCGCATAAAGCAAAAAACAGTATACTATGAGACTTTAAGGTGGCATAGAATGGAAAACTGTATTTACATTGGCATAGTTGAACAAGAAGAGTTTGGTACATAACTGACATTAGCCTCTAGCTAACACTTTTCTCTCCTCCTTCAACTGGAAATCCCGCATATGCAGAAGGGGGCGGTAAAACAGGCCAATTCCAAAATCCTAGACTGTTATGTAGGTTAACAGTCTTGACTCATTAATGTTTACACCCCCAAACATTCCATAAACCAGCCCACGTTCTAGCCCAGCAGGTATTGTGAAGAACAAAACAAGGACAATGGAGCAGCAGACAGTGCAGAAGTGTACCATTCCAGGCTGTGAAGGGGATGTTAACACTTTTTATATCCTTTCCAAGGAACTGAACTGTCAATGGGCATGGCTGATGTTCATCTTTAAACAAGGCTGAAGTTGGCTTCCTGTTCGCCAGCTTCTTAATGAAAGTTCCGTTCCACCTTAAATACTACAGCTAGTACAGGCAACAGAATGATGCTGCAGCACCATTTAAGGTGGAAAATGTGCAAAACAAGCTGGCAAATAAGAAGCCAACTTCAGGTCCCACATGTCTAAAAAAAACTCCCTGACTACTTTAATTGAAAGTTGTTAGTTTGCGCTGCACATTTTCCAGACAATTTCTCAAACCTTGAACAAAATCGAGCAGGCTTTGCTCAGCATTTGACACTGAAGAGACAGAGGGGAGGGGCAGTTCCAACTTTATTAGCATCACAACCCCAACAGCAGCCTGTAAGTAGCCATGATGTGTGATTTTATCCACTTTTTGACAGTTGAGGCCAGATTATCGCAAATTGAAAGTTTCATAGTGAGCTAACAGCTTTAATTTACTTTGTTGTCGAGACTGAAAGCAAATAACATTAGCTTGTATTGATAATCTTAGCTACTAGCAAGCTCCAAGTAGCTAGCATAGCTAACTAAACAGTATGAGGAGCTTATTTACACAGAGGTTCATTTTATTTCCCTGCCTGTCTCTATTTCGACATGTTGCTTTTGTGTGAGCCATCATGGTGCCTCACTGTAAACCAGCAAATCAGAGCAGAGCTCATCATATTATTCATCAGCCCACCAAAAAGGGAAAACGGCCTGTTTCATTCTAGGGCCAAATCCCAGGGTTGTAAATGGACGTGTAAAACTGCATCTGGGCTTTTGTCACCCTGACCAAGTCACATACCTTCTAAGTACACATCAGAGAACAATTTACATTACTAAGTTTAATTCATTCTGTGGCACCTTTAAAGACGTTTTTCACAGCACATCATGAAATTTAACATGCAGTAGTAGTGACTCATTAAGCTATCAAAGACTTTGAATAAAATTACGCATGCTTTACTGCACAAAAAAACAATGAAATATGCCTAATTGTGATCTCTTTGTAAAGAAACATTAGTTAATCAGTGTAAATTTAAGTACTGAAAATATCTATGTTATGCTTAGAAATGCATATCGTTTATCATGGTCATAACATTTATCATGATAACAATAACGTACAGTCATACTGCCCATCTCTGCCTCCAGAAAGCAGAGTGTTTAGGTGATGCTGGGCTACTGTCATAGAACGCCTTCATTTCTCTGTAACGCTAACCCAGGTAGTAGATGTAGTCCTAATTTTATAAATGCTTATTTAATAAATGCTTGTATATCAGCATCGGCAGGTATGTACACGAAAAATATCACGTATCTGCATCAGGCCACATTCCCTTTTTGGCACATCCCTAAAAAATTCCATGTCTAAATGGTCAGTTGCGCTTGGATTGCAACGTGCATAATTTTCTATTTTCCCTGTGTTGACCGCAGTGAATGTGCCGACATCATGACTGGGGGCTCTCGTCGCTGCATTGTGGTGTCCACTCTGGCCGAGGCATCTTTCTTTGCTGACCACGGTTATGATGACATTCTTTACGCATACCCACTGCCTTTCGACAAAGTGGAGCGCTGTGCAGAGTTGTCAGAGAAGCTCTCTTTGTTCCATGTGCTGGTGGACAATAGCCTTGCCCTACAGGAACTCAAGAGGAGACCACTGAAGCAGGGCAAAGCATGGCATGTGTGGATGAAACTGGACTGTAACAACGGTAGAGGTGAGATCTGCATTAGAGTAGGTGCCTTCATGTGTATTATGTATTTACAGAACGTTGTTTGAATGTAATAATTACTGTCCTAGAAATTAGTAAGTAGTAAGGTTTTAAGTAATAATGTAGTAAGAAAAGTTATTTATGAATAACTTTTGAATTCATAATTTCCCAATGCACTGTACACTCAGGTTCGAGGTTGAGGAGTTAAGATACTAGAATAAGGCATGTGATTTGCATTTTTTTCAGCGGGTGTTCCTCACTCTGAGCCTGCTGCCCTGCAGTTGGCCCAGGAAATCTCTGAGACAAAGGGGGTAGAGCTTACAGGAATCTATGCCCACTGTGGAAACTCCTATGGCTGTAAGGGGGAGGAGCAAATCAAGGCTGTTGCCCAAGAAACTACAACAGTCACATTACAGTTTGTGGAGAAGTACGCTGTCCATGTCATTTGCTGCTTTGAATGGCAAATTGTTCTGGCTTTGTTGTGCCAAAGCTCAGCCATTTGTTTGTACTAATTTACATGTCAATCACTCCCTTCATTAAAATCATTATCTTCACAAAAATGCAGTACTGGCTATGTAATACCTGATTTTAGTGCCATGCCTGCAATCTCTGCACTCAATCTCTTATTATATGATGCAGACTGAAAGCTGTTGGAGTAAAAGGTCCTAAATCGAGCATTGGCTCCACCCCTTCATGTAGCCACCCAGTCCCAAGACATGGCTATGTTAAGTGAGGTCCATCCTGGAAACTACATATTTTACGGTCAGTGGTAGGTAGTGTTGTTTCCTCAGTTGAGCATACAGAGGTGACACTGTTTATTAAATAGCCCTGGAAATAGACTTGTTTCATGTTTGATGCTCTGAGTCCTCTTTTTACTCTGCACATCTGTTGTGTGTGTATAAATGTAGATGTGCAGCAGTCACTCATTGGCTCCTGCAGGCTTGAGGATGTTGCCGTACGGGTACTGACGAGGGTTATAGGTCACTACCCACACAGGAACCAGCTACTGGTAGACTGCGGATGGACCGCCCTGAGCCATGATGGAGGAGGACGTTTACCTACAGGTTATGCCGTCATCGAGGGGCATCCGGAACTTAAGTAAGAAATACAATTAAGTATCTTGATAATGAACACAGGACCACTGTCTTCTCAAAAAAAGAAAACTGTAGTGGGCAGTTTGACATGGTGCCTGTAAAATTAATTGCTTAGACAAGGTGTATGACTATAGCACTCCAGGGATGGGCATTTCTGGAGATCAGCACAGTTTATTGATTTTCTTGCTCCAAGAAAATTTCTTGCTACAAATAATGCTTTCAGATAGCCTTGATTTTTTTTCTGAAGTCAGATGATGAAACTGGGTGCATTGAAGTCAGATTATGAAATCAGGCACATTGAAGGTTGTGATGGCAACACCATTTTCATGACCAAGGAAAGAGTAGGGCTGGGAACACTTACCAGTAATTAGAACCAATTATTATTATCAATATGAAATTGTTTTTATTTGTATGCATGAGTGTTTTGCACTCTGATCTGTGATCTGAAACTCCAGTGCTGTTTTATTTTTTATTTAACGTTTAATTTTTTATTTATTGAATGTTCAGTCATCATGCTCGTGTCGTGCTGAGTTCATTTTCAAGGAAGAAAAAGAAGGTGCAGTTTTTACCACACTGAAACTTTTGCTCCTCTTTTATTAAACACTTCTGCAAAGAAGATGAAGAGGAAGGAAAAATAGAACCATTGAGTAGCAGCGGTGACAAAGTTATCACTTTTCTTTTAGCCAGTGTGACTCAAACACACAGCCCATTCTAGTTTTTTAAAATAAAAAACAAAAACAAAAACAAAAAACTTCAATACCAACTCACAGCTGAAACTCTGTAAAGCAGGCTCTGTGTATGTAATTGAGTTTGAGGCTCTGCTTCAGCTCAGAGCTCTGAGCTTTAAAACAAGCAAACAAATTCTACAATTTTTCATAATTTTTGCATAATTTAGTTGTTGAGAGTAAACATTCTGAGTGGTTTGGTGTGAAATGGTTCATTGTAGAAAAACACCAGCTCAAAGTTCTTTACAGTAGTGGTGATAGGAACCAGTGGTCATGAAAAAGGTGTCCTTTGGGAACTATTTTGCCTTACAACACTCTGTATGGACCTTTCCACCATGATTGTATTTTTAAAAAAAAACCCTTTAGGCCAAAATGCAATAGCTTTCTGTGTGGAAGCTTTTAGAGGCATTAAACATTTTGGATGCTTTCTATTACCCCTGTTGTCAACAATTTGGACTTGGCTAGTTTCTCTAGAACAGCATTTAATGACTTTGTTTATGTTTAATGATTTAATTGTGCATAAATATTGAAACATGTGGAATTCCCATTTAATACTTAATAAATATATATCATATATACACCATATATATCAATAAATTTTCCCAAATTTACTTTTTTTTTCTTATATTGTAGTCAGTCAAGGAAGGTGATCAAACAACATAAATAACATAAATAAATATTAGTTTAACAGTAATGTTCAAGTGATTTTTCTATATGTACGGTTAACCCACATTTTATTTCTGCTACGCTCATGATTTAAAATAGGCTAAAATCCATAGTAGTTAATAAACTACAACAGTTGTTTCACAGCCTCCTTGTTCCATGAGTCAAAGAACAAAAGTGAACAACATTTTCTTTTGGAGAAAAACACTGGCTGATTTAAAAAGCAGGTAATTAACTGTTGAGCGGAACAAAGTGTACTTGCGCAGGAAAATAAACAAACTGTGCAGGACTGATACACACCATAGGAAGACCTTCTTTACTGAGCAGATATGAGGTGATAATTAAAAGCATTATGGATATTAAGCATGTTGTAGACTGGCGGTATATACAACAAGTATGTGATTGCAAAATAATGACAGATATTTTAGTCTGAGTAATTCTCCCTAAAGGCTGGAAAACATTAAGTGTTTTATGTTTTTGGTAGACTGGTGTCCATGACTCAGGAGCATGGCAGGGTGGAGCCCGTCTCTGGAAAGCTGGATTTTAGTCAGTTCCCTCTGGGCTCAATGCTCTCCCTTATGCCGCACCATGTGAGTAACCACTGTTTGTGTTTGTGTGTATACACCAACTGACCATTTCATTAAGTACGCCTCCTTGTATCTACATTCTTTGTCCATTGTATCAAGTCCATTTACTATATAGGTGTACTTTGTGGTTCTACAGTTACAGACTGTAGCCTCTTTCACCCTGTCCTTCAATTGTCAGGACCCTCACATAGAGCAGGTATTGTTTGGCTGGTGGATCGTTCTCAGCACTGCAGTGACACTGACTTTGGTGGCAGTGTGTTAGTGTGTGTTGCACTGGCACAAGATCAGATACAGCAGTGCTGCTGGAATCTTTAAATTCTGCCTACTTCCTGCCCACTCTATTAGGCATACCTGCCTTGTTGGTCCACTTTGTAGATGTAAAGTCAGAGACGATAGCTCATCTGTTGCTTCACAGTCTGTGTTGGTCATGCTGTAGTCCTTCATCAGTGGTCACAGGACGCTGTTGGTTGGATATTTTTGGTTGGACTATTCTCAGTCCAGTAGTGACACTGAGGTGTTTAAAACTCCAGCAACACTGCTATGTCTGATCCACTTGTACAAGCGCAACACACCACCATGTCAATGTCCTTTCAGTGCTGAGAATGACCCAAATAATAACTGCTCTGTGGTGGTCCTGACCATTGAAGAACAGGGTAAAAAGGGGGTTGGCAAATTATGCAGAGAAAAAGAGGATCTACAGTTTAAAGTGCACTTGTATGGTAGGTGGAACTGATAAAATGGACAATGAGTGTAGATACAAGGAAGTGTACTTAAAGGAGGGACCGATTGGTGTATATTAGCAATATGTGAGCCCAGCCAGCATAATCAAACACTCAATATATACGGCTTCAATTAGAATGTACTCATATCATTGCTGTCGGAAGAAAACCTCATATCTCCAAAATAGTCACTGTATAAGAGAAGGAAAAACATTCTTAACTTGTATTGGATGTTAAAAGAACAATTAATTTTTGACCATTTCTGTTGGTCTGTTCATGTTCATTGTGAAATTTTAACACAATGCAAAGAGTATTTGGAGTTCTAATTGATAACATATGATGGAAAGGATGGAACAGATGGAGCAGGCAAAGCACACAGTTATCTGTAGCACCTTTCTATCTGCAGAATTGTTAACATAGCATTGACTTATTCTATACGTTAAGAACCAAACTTGCATGTTGTTTAAAGTTCTGGTACCCCCCCATTGACTGCAAAGGGGAGGTGCTGTACTATCACAAGGACAGTCAGCTCCATCAATTTAAATGTGCTTTTTCTTTCTGATGTCCACCAAAAAAAGTTCTTCTGTTTTGTTTAGCATGTTTAAAGCTGAATTATCGTTTTGGATCCACATTGATAATTGTGTAATTTTTTTTGAATAAGAAGATTTGTTGTTCTGTGTAATTGCCATACTATTTCAGTATTGTGAGGGATTATATAATTGATGTGATTATTTCCAGTGTTTGCTTTGTAGTTATGTGTGAAAAGCGATTACAGTTCCGGGCTCAGTCAGCAGCCCTGTGGCGTAGCAGCATTCAGAGTAAATGTTTCAGAAGTGCTGTTGCTGATCCTCGCTACCTGTGGCTGTTCCAGATGATTTTACATAACTGCAGTTTTGAGTATTATGGTGATTTTACTGTAGTTTTCAATAGCGTTTTGATGTAGGTGTTTTATTGTCATGTGCTGTAGGGCTCTGGATTCTGCATCATCTAACCTGTTTTGCCTGGTAGGCAAACTATAGTAGATTCATAAGCCCTGCAATAGTGCTGGTAATGCTTTTGAGTTAATACTAAAGGGATTATTATTAGCTGTGCAGTAGGTGTGTGATGGTGGTTCTCTTGAAGCATACTGGAGATTTGGGTAGCTGACTGAAAATGCCTGTAAGCAGGGGGTTAGATGACTTGCCCAGTACGGAGGATGTAGAAGAGAAACTCATGAGTATAGACTTAAAAGAAATACAAAAATAGTACAGTGGTAATACTGAAATAAAGACATTGCATCACCTGAAGTATGAACACCTTTGTTTGTGTTTTACCAAACTTTGAGTTCAACTCAATCAGGACTAAAAGCAGTAAGAAACCTGCCGGTAATACATGCTGATACATTCTTGTGTTTTCCAGGCTTGTGCTACAGCTGCGATGCATCCAGTCTACTATGTACATTCCAAAGGGAAGATTGTAGGCACTTGGAAACCCACACGTGGATGGTAGTAGGCCAAGAAACACACCGTATTCCTTCGTGGCGAAACTTCTTTTAAGAGTTATTATTAAATGAACTTTAATCGTTTCATTATCAGAAGTTGATAGTGAATGACAATGATTTAGAGAATGTGTGATTAGGCTAACCTGTGTTGGTGACACCTGTCAATCCTGTAATCCAAAATTGCATGTGAAGTACAATGCCTATAAAAATGTATTAACACCTGTTGGACTTTTCTACATTGTATTGTATAATACAGGGGGTATGAGGAGCATTCAGGCCTGATTATGGATGGTTAGGAAATGTTCAATGGACCTGTATTGTTATATTATGTGTCAATAGTGTATTTTTTTGCAACTCATCTGCACAGTTCTTTGTAATGTCAAAGTCATAATATGACCAAATGTACTAAAAAATTAACATTTCACTAAATTAAAAATCCAGAAAATAATTGAATACATAAGTGTTCGTTCACACATTACTGCTCATTAATACTTTTGAAGTTTTTTTTTTTTTAATTTTCCTTATGATTTTGCAATAACTAAAATTGTACACGTCATGACCCCAGTTTGTTGTTGGTTGGGTTTGATCAGTGTGTTCTTATGTGTATGTGGGCACAGAATGAGCTCTACGTGTTTCCCAAGTCGCTGAAATCAGTTACAGTTTACCTTTTGCCAGAGATTAATTCATCTTTAGTGGCTAAAATATGGCCAGCAAACGCGAACACCACATCATGTTAGCCTACATGCAAATCACTCACGTGTAGCGGTGTCGTGAATGAATCTTTCTTTTGAATCAAATCGGTTCTTTTCACACCGCTCGAATTGATTCGCAAGTCCAAATGAATCAAACCTTTTCTAACACTTACACGTTAGGCCTTAGTGTGGCCGTCTGACCTGTAATAAAATGTAGTAAATTCAACCTCTTACAGTCACAGGTAAAAAGCCATATTATAGCTTACGTATTAAGAACAACCATGTTTGAATTTTCTGGCTGTGAAAATGTAAATAGCTTCCTCTTTCTGCTAGTGTTTGTGCTTTGTTCATTCTGACTACATTAGTGAGAGTAAGTAACATCAGACATACTGGACTGAACTTCATGTCATTGTGCGCAGAGGACATACATATGGCTTGACCTGTGAATCTATGTATCAATGAATCGTTGAATATAATGATCGATTCATTGAATCGGACACTTGGAGGGAATCGGTTTAGTAGACTGAATCAGACGACCCATCACAGCTCTCGTGGCCGCGTTATCGAGTCACCTGCTCACCTGACCAATAGAGGCTTCCGCCCTCTTACCGCCAGCCAATAGGAGCGCAGGACGCGCGTCAGCCTGCAGAGCTGCGAGTTGGCAAGGAGAGAGAGCGAGGGAGAAGGAGGGGGGTTAGATGCAAACACTGGAGGATTCTCTCGTCTTAACGTCCACAGAGGCCGCTCTGTATGCCGACATAGTCACGTTAAGGGCCTTTTAGAGTCGCCTCGGCAGTAATGGTATTCCTCAGAGCTTCGACGGTCGCCGTGTGGGGTCTTTGTTTTTAGCAGCACCCACTGCAGAGTGAAGGAGGAGCGGAGGAGCTGAAGCTTGCTGAAGCCTGTCCTCTTCATATGAGCCTTCGTCCCTGCAGCATCTACACCAGCCAGCCCACCGGTACGTATAATTCACACGACCACTGGACGTTAAATATGGACATAGGGCCACGTATACTGCTGAAGGGCATGTGGATATGATTACACAGCACTAAAGACTATCATTCTTAGCACAAGATAGTCGCTTCTGCTCGGGGGTCGAGTAAGCCCCGATCACGAAGAAGTTAACGTGGCGACCTGTCGTGTGCAGGTTAGATCAGCTCCGCGATACGCTGAAATCCGAGCCCAAAGAGCTGTGGAAAGGTCAGTGTTTCCCTGCTCCTTGTGTGTCTGGCAGTAATCCTACCTCTTAGCACCACAATGCTGGGTTTACTTACTTAGATACATTACATTAATATTGGAACTAAGCCTGTGGGCACCCACATTATGGCTCAAGAGCAGTGGGACACACTTCATAGACTGGTACAGACACAGTGAACTGAGTGCATGAATGAAATGGGCCCGCTTACAATAATGTGGCTGTATGATGATATTCAGGCCTGAGTATGGACTGTTAGAAAATTGTCCTCTTGAGTATGGACTGTTTTGAAATGTTCCTCCTGTCTTTCTTTTCTGAAGCCTTTTTATTTTGGACAAATTTTTAGTACAGATTCAATCAAGGGAGAGATTCAAAGCGTTGGTACATCAACCTGAAACCTCCCCACCCACCTTTTACAACTAAAGCTGCAAAAAACAAAGGAAGGTAACTAAGTGAGGTTGACCAGCTAAAAGGAACCCATCAAATTCATGGCTCAATCATGATATCCAACTTTTGAAAGCATGCAAGAAATGATACCCAAACATGATGCACACACTGAGTACTGAATTGTCTCTAGTTTGAGGCAGGACATGATTAAGCCATAAAGAGTGCTGTGGTAGGGCAGCCCTCTGTCATCTGCGTAAAACCATACATCCTGCAAACAGGGAAGTAAAAAACAGGGCATCATGCTTTTTGAAACCCTATGTTCCTCCTGTCTGAACACAACGTTCTGTCATACTTCATTGACATGGAGCTCAAGTCACTCTTGAATCAGTTCTGCTCTATTTGTCCACTAGGTTGTCCGCTGCCCGTAGACTACATCAGGAGCTGCTTATCTCTCTAAGTAGCTGCATCAGTGCCCTCACCAAGGACTTACACTGTGCAGTAAAGAGACCGGCTAATACCCAGGCCAGATTAGGGGAGACTGCGCACCAGCTGGCTAACTTGACAGGATTGAGAGTGATTAAAAGCACCTCGTTGTCAGCGAAAGGGGACCAAAACACAATGCATGAAAATGCATACATGCTACACGCTTATATGTGCCGGTCACTCTGTCCAGAAGTTGGCTGCAGGCCCGTCTGAGTGCATTGACTTATGCTATGAACTGAACGTTCATGTTTGAGCCAGCGTGTTTGTCGAGGTTTTGTGCATGAACATCACTTGAGATAGAAAGAGGACATGGAGTGTGTTGTGCGAGCACATGTCAGCAGATGCATGTGCCTAGACCCGTGAAAGCATGTGCTGCTGACAGAGTGGAGTGTTTTCAGATTGCCTTGGTTTTAACGCTGACCAGCGGCCTGCCTCTGTTGTCAGGTCATGGTATATTGTTTCATGTCGGTGCACTACTTTTGATCTTCCTTTAGAAAACCCCCCTTCCACCATTCACTTTCTCTCATCTGTGTCTTACCACTAAGCTCTTTTTAGCAATGTCTATTTTAGGCCTTGCACTAAGTCCCTGTTTAAGGGACTGTATACACTTAATTATCTGGCACAGAATCTTGTAAGCTTCTTACCCTGTAGAAGAGGTTAGAGAGCAGGGCTCTTCGGCCTGCTGGAACCAAACACCAGGGAAATACTTTGTTTGATCATGTTTCCTCTGGTTGTGTTTTTTTAACCCTCCTGTTTTTTGCCTGCACTTGAAGGATTAGGGCTGCAGTACAGTGTGTGCCAAATGTACCAAAGAACCTTACCCATATGTAATCTTGTGGGGAGTTGGTCTCTACAAGATTGCAGTAGTTGCAGTATTTATTTTCTTGAGGCATTGCAGGCAACAGTTAACAATTTAAGCAGAACAAGTTCATGTATGTTGTGTGGCCACGTAGCCAGATAGTGTTAGAAGTGAGACGGGATGCTACATTGATCAAATATGTCAAGACGTCAACATGCAGAGTTAGTTCATTAAACTGTCATGTAACCTCTTTAGAGCTGACGTGGAAATAACCTTCACCGACCTAGACCTACATAAGTATATGACTGAGGTTTGGACTGCTTTAAATTGGATTTACGAGTCTCATCAAATAGTGGGCACATGTTCAGGACTGTGGTGATTTCGCTAATCTGAAGTTCTACCAATGTAGTATGTAACCATAAACATGTTTTCAGGAAGGATGTGATTTTCAGTTCTGATGTCAAAATTAAATTAGATTTTTGATATTTTATGTATTGATTCTATATGGCTTGAATTATACACTACAAAGGTTTTGGTTCAGAAAAATTATAATTTTATGTAGAAAAAAGATTGCAAAGTAGCATGTTCTGGTGCAAAGTAATGATCTCAAAACAGTGCATCTGAGCTACAGATGGGTGACCATAAACATTAGGATGAATTAGTGCAGAAACATAACGTCATGGAGAACGCACATGGTTGGCGACCGAACAAAATGAAATGCTTAATAGCAATATGGACAGACACTATTATGCAAAACAAACTGCAGACAACTGAATAAACAATTGGTAACCGGTTGCCATGTAATGAGTGGACCAAGTTTAGGCCTACATGCATGTGGCAAAAATCTTAACAGGATACAATCCAGATACATGAAGTGACCAGGTGTAAACAGGGTCTGAGTAACTTTGAAGGAAAGTTCATTATTCACACTCGGATGGCAGGAGCTTTAGTCACAAAGGCTGTTCAACTGACTAGTGTTTTAGTAGAAATGGTAGTCACCTGGGGCCAGTCGTCTTCTTGTAAAAAGAGCGTCTGGTGCCAACCGTGAGAAATTTTGAGCTCAATTGTGGGTGAGAACTTGCACCAATCCAACACCTCATTAAGTAGGAGGCGATGTTGTGTTCGTCAGCATTTTGTTAGCTAATTTGTTTTGCCTGTGTTATCAAATATACTCTGCAGTTAATGAACAAAGACTAGAAGAATTTGGGGGCGTACTCTTGATTGCAGTAAATTTAGCACCAAACATTTAAAGCCCCGCTCAACGTGGTTTCACCTTTGTATATTTTTAAGATACGCCATGGTAAAAGTGTCTACCAGTGTTGTATTCAAAAATATATGTAAATTAATCCAATTTACTTCCAAAATTCTGTAGCAGCTGCCTGTTCTTAACTTTGTGGACATGTCAGAACGCAAAATGATTGCTTGGTAGATGCCACTGTCAATGTAAACAGCCTGGTTCCAGTGGCACTGCTGAGCAAAACTGCCAATCAGTGGTGGAGACATTTCTCATATGCCTCATTGTGCGCCACACTTGTATAAATGCGGAGAAATCTTGTGAGCCTTAGCTGGGGTGTCTACGTATCATTTTATTCCTACAGTTAATATGTACCACTAGCTACTGCACTCTCATAAATGAAGTTAATTGCTTGTAGTAGGACCCTGCGACAGGTGGCAAATGAAAGTAGGAAGCAGCATCTAGCTATGATAAAAAACAGTGGTGCAATAAACCTTCAAAGCAAGCACTGTTAACGAATTTCAAAAAAAGCTTAATTAACCTGCTAGCTCTGAGCTTTGGATGGTACTGAGAGCAGAGGGAGAGCAGTCACTTTATGTGTGGGAGAGGAACAAGTAGCTGACATACATGTTGTCAGTATGTCAGTATGCCAGATCTGATGTCACCCGCACCAAATTTATTCCCACCTAACTGAAACCCAACTGAAAAAAATGGCAGAAAAAGTTGCAAAAATTTGAAAAATCTCTAAACCAAAAAGACCAATGGAATTCTTTCTCTGCCAGTTCATTGGAAAAAAAATCACAAAAATTATATAGATGATGGTTAGTAGAAAATCATGAAAAAGAATAGACAGAGGCTTTAACAAGTTGTTCCCAGACTCATTTTCTTGTTACAAGATCACAACAGGAACAGAGACTAAAGTGACCGCTGCATTTAGATCTTTGGGAAAGGCCGTCAGTAATAGGGTTGGAAATTGTGTTTAAACCGCACATTCAAAGACTGTGATGCTCTTGGATTAGTGCGATATAAGAAAAGAAGAGCAACTGTTGCTTAAGGGACTGAGAATGTCAATGCAGGATGTGATCGAACTGTGCCAACAAGAACAGTCTGTCCAGGACTACATACAGAGGGCTATTATAGTAAGATTGCAGTGTGTAAACCCCTTATTGCTAGGACAAATGCCCATTTTAGTTCAGTGGTGCAAAAACTGTAGTCACTGGTGAACAGAGATTTGGAAAAATTATATGATCAGATAAGACATTCTTCACAATAGTCTCCACAAAAGAGTGGTAGAGACCAAAATGCTTGACCCCTATGGGGAGCTCACGGCCCAGTCAAACTTAAATACTATATTGAAGAGTATCCCGGCTCACGCACCAGCCAGACTCTGTCAAAGATGGAAAAAGATGATGGAAAAACATGGAAAGTTCAAGACAAATAAATCACAAGCCTACCGCAAACGAACAAGAACCTGTTCTTACACCAGGCACACATGCACACACACAAACACATACGCATATCTGTAATGAAATATTACTATGAGTATGAAAATGATGTAAATCATATACTATGGTCTTCACAGGCCTCAGATCTCAACCCAGATGAACACCTTTGTGCTGAAGTTACACAGCACTCTCCGTCAACATCATCAAAACACCAGTTCAGGAAATGATTGGAGGTCTATTCCAGTTCTGTTTTAAAGACTCATAGAAAAAGGTTGAAGTTGTGGTTGCCCAACACTTTAATAAGTTTAAAACAGTCTGTATAACAATTCAAAAACATGAACTTTCTAATATAAAAAGTTGTACAGCATGTATTCACCCTCCAAATTTCCAAAATTAGCTTATCACAACAACTAAA